GATGCCCAAATCCGGGATGCTCCTTTCGCCCGCTCTTTCCGCCCTCTTCCCTGCCCGTCCCCCTTTATGCAACCCATGCAAACATGTCGTCCACCCCCTCCCTAGACCCACAAACACTCCCGTTTTCATTGCGGCGAAGTCTTGAGTAGTGTCTTCGACACCTGTGTATGAGAGGGTATCAACCGAGGCAGGGTGGGAGTAGTGCTTTAAACAGAGACCTGAGGTAAGAGCACTCATATCGTTCTCCTCTACTCTCACGGGAGCATTCCCTCCTCCTCCCAGCCTCCACTTCCTCCTCTTTGCCCCTTTGCCCTGCTTCCCCTTCGCATTGTCACCGCCATGCATTGATCCTTGCTCATCCCGTTCCACTACGCTGAAGCACTCCTTTTTTATGCCACGTGCATGAATTCCGGTGTATTCAATGAGAAATTTGAGTCGAGAAAGAACAATTTGAGGGAGAGGGTGGACAAGGGGGGGGGGGTGGGGATTTGGCAGGTGAAAGTGGGTGGGCGCCAGGGGAAGTGCGAAGGGCGGCGGCCCCGATGGCCGCCACAGCCATTCTGCCTTCATTATCATCAACAGGGGTGCTGTTGCGCTGCTCCTCAAGCTGCATCACGAGAGAGACGCGCGTTGCCGCTCTTGACGAACTAGAACCCAATTCTTGTTTCGGACTGGTGTTGTCGTTTAGAGTACGTGAAAGTAGTAGTGGTGCCATCGGATCATTGGCGCGCTCTAGTCTCGCTGCTTCATCATCCTTTTCGCCCTCCTCTTCGTGTAAATCTCCATCATCCTCATCGTCTTCCAGGTTCGGTGCCAGACGGTCTAGCCGACCCGCGTCCCGGGGTAGGAAAAGTTTTCTTCGAGGTGGCAACCCGTCTCTGTTCATGATTCAGAGGCTGGCGTGTGCGTGCAACGGCGACAAGCAACGTCAGAAGACGATATGCAGTGCCGTTGACAAGGGCTTGGAAAATGCTGTCTGTCAGGTGGGCTGCCAGGATTTTTGAAACCTTTGAGAAGGTCAGCGTTTTTTTTTTCTCTGCTTAATTGTGAGCAGTCATGAAAACTTCATGAAGGTTTCGGGCCACGGGCTCTTTGTTTTGATGTCTTCTTCACTTGCGTAGTCATGAGCATGAAGAAGAAGCGTCTTGGCCGTAATGTTGGAACCTACGTTGCTCTGCTCGCAGTGTTAGTTGTTAGGACGATACCCTCAACGCAGAAATTGGATGAATTTGTGTCTTCCGATCTCCACGCTCTAGTCAACCTCGAAATTTGACTCTTGAATTGTCGGATACCGTAAAAGAATTGGCTACAATCTTATAATTTAGGTTGCACTATCGTAGAATGTGCCCAAGAATAATTTCTGGTCGTTAGTGAAGGTGACTTGCAGCTTTTGGTCTCCCTACGGGCTACCTTTCACCCTATCCTGTTTATGTGTTAGCTAATTCTTGCGAGATAGCCACTGTACAAGTGTGCCACGAGTATAGCTTATCAGGACCTACAGGGGTGCCTTTGATAATGTTCCAGGAACGGTTCTGTGTCACTTGGCTGGTGTATGATGAGCTTCAATTTACCGACCTAAGGTACTCAAATGTGCTCGTGCATGTTTTGCAGATGAATGGCGGTTCTCATAATGGAAATGAGCAACCCCATGGCATTTCTACTAAAAGAGTTCTGGAGCGTTGGGACGTGGTTGGGCTCGGCCAAGCTATGGTAGCTACTACTTTCACTCCCATTTCTGGTTTTTTGATCACTCTCGTTCCTTGAATACTTTCTTTGCGGACGAACTGTGTTGTTAACTAAGTGTGGACGATTGCACAGGATGCCAAGCAAGCCTTGCCTGAATGTGTTTCTTTGTTGTATTCAGGTCGACTTCTCGGGCACTGTAGATGATGAATTCCTGGAAGGATTTAAATTAGTGAAAGGCACTCGGAAGGTAGTGAATCATGAGGAAAGAGGGAAAGTGGTGCGCGCTTTAGATGGTTCCGACTACAAGCTTTCTGCAGGGGGATCTCTTTCTAACACCCTGGTCGTGTTCGCTAGGTTGGGTATGGCCAGCAGTCAGAACCCTGCGCTGAATGTTGCAATGACTGGCAGTGTGGGCAGCGACCCTTTGGGGGATTTTTACAGGTAAGAATCTGTCCGTGATCGCTGTTGTTCCCTGCATCTCTGCTTTGTAGTCGCGAATCATGGAATTGGATAGCGGGTTAGGAATGAGCTCTCAGACTCGAAGTATGCACTACCGGGAGAGTGATATTTATTGTGAGCGGTGAGATTCTAGCAATGTATGCAGGAACTTGATTCTATATTTGCGGCGTGCTTGTTCAGAGCCAAACTGCAGCGGGCAAATGTATGTTTCTTGTCTCAGCCTGTCGCAAATGGCACGACAGGCACAGTCATTGTGTTGACCTCACCTGATGCACAGCGTACTATGCTGTCTTACCAGGTACAAAAACTTCAGCCCTTTTCGCTCAGGGCTTTGGTGGTTGAATATAATTTACTTAGTTGATGTATCTGTCGCGTGTATTTAATACATTTGATGAAGCTTTGAACGTGCTTCATCATGTGAGCAGGGAATGTCTTCCACTGTGAGTTTCGATCCGGTACTGGCAGGTGCTATTGCTAAATCTAGAGTGTTGATAGTGGAAGGCTATTTGTGGGAAATTAGTCAGACTATTGAGGCGATTGCTCAAGCTTGCGATGCTGCACGCCGGCAAGGTGTATTAGTAGCATTGACTGCCAGCGACGTCTCCTGCGTAACCCGACACCGACCACAATTTTGGTGAGCCAGCATTATCAGTATATTCATAATGTATATTTAAGTATGTATATTCAAGTGGGCGCTCAGGTAATATGCAGAAGTAGGTAATGACCTTTGCGGTATCATCATTATTTGCAGTAGTCTCGTGTTGAGATTATGTGTCGGAACTGCTTCATACTAAATTGGAATGTGGTTTGAAGAACTTCGACGAGGACCTTGAAATCTGTAATTCTTGACTGGATATGCCCGTCTTTCACGTATTTGTTTGGTCGTCTAATGATGGTGGTTGGAGCATTTGTTTCAGGAGTGTTATGCGCCATAGCTCCGACATCTTGTTTGCTAATGCCGATGAAGCTCGAGCTCTTTGTGCTTCTGGGGAGGATATAACACTGGAGCAGGTCACCAAGTACCTTAACCATTTTTGTCCACTAGTCTCTGTCACTGATGGAGCTCGTGGTTCATACATTGGATTGAGAGGAGAAGTAGTTTTTATTCCACCTGCACCCTGTGTCCCTGTAGATACTTGTGGTGCTGGAGATGCTTATGCTGCAGGTGTACTGTATGGATTACTTCGAGGAGTCCCTGAACTAAAAGGAATAGGGTATTTGGCAGCTCGAGTTGCGGCCATTGTGGTGGGCCAATTAGGAACTCGTATAACAGAGGAAGTTGCTGTTGAATTTGCTGAATCTGTGAACAGGCTTTATGGTCTTCCAGATTCTCGGATAATGGAGCTGATGGGAATGAAAGAGAAAGTGCCGGCTGGGAAAACTTCAAATGTTGTAGAAATTGGTTACTAAGACGCTGCATCTATCAAAGAAGATGTTGTCGCGACCCACCGTCTTATGTGAAGTTGGGTGAACTTCCGACCAGCCAAAATCTGGTACAGATTATTAGGATTTCTGTTCAGCTCTACATGTAACTAGAAACCAAAGCATTAGTATATTTAACCCTCAGAAAGTTGGTGGAAATTGCTGCTAAGATGTAGGCATTATGGTCCAATTCAATTCAAACTGTGAATCCAGAGAACAGAAATATTGGAGGATGTGTGATAGTATCTGTTGCTTGTAGATGGTCTCAGGGTTTATTCGACAATCCAGCGAGATGGGTTGAACATTATGATTCTTAAGTCAGACTTGACCGATTTTGATCATTTACTTCCTACAGCCATTCTTGTCTCTTAAGACAGATATTATAATGTTACAGCTGCGGACAGTAGTGCACATTTTTTCAGTGTTGAGGATGCTTGCTTTTGATTTTCCCTCCAAAGGATGGGATGTGAGCATGAACGTCAAAACAGCATGTTTGATTTCTACACTTCTTATTCCTTAGAGTAGGCATACTGGTATATAATGTCTGTGAAAATTTGTCTTCTTAGGGAACGGTAAAAGTGAAATTGTGACATTTTACTATATTTGGATGTGAATTATTTTGTGGTAGATGCTGATCTGTCTAACCCACACTTCCGTCTTGTCTTTGGGTTTTCCGTCACTGTTTGACTTAGAGTAAGAATGTGACGTCATCGTGGATTTTCAATAAGATTACAGAGCGGTGGTACACGGACGAATTGTGAATAATCTCTCAATGAGTATGGGAGAAGTGTCTAGTGGAGGACCGTGTTGCCACAACGCGACGTTTCACAGGCTCGGGAGGAAGAGAAGAATCCGCTAAGCAAATTCCACACTACAGTTGCTGGATCGTGACCTGCAGCTGCACCCTATGTAGAGCATCGCACAAAATCATCATCATCTGTGCGGCTCTCGCTCTCTCTCGCTCTCTCTCTCACTTGCACTGCCCTCTCAAGTTTTCCTTAAGCACTGGTTTCAACAAGATGGGGGTCTTACTGGGCGGTAATAAGCCGCATGGATCGGCGCTGCGGTTAAGCGATGATCAGCACGGAAGGGGGTCGAAATTAGGCTGTAGGTCTAGAGTAGAAGTCTAGAACAAAGCTTATGGCAGCTGGATTAGAATGAACCATTTGGAACTGTGACTCCTCCGTTGTTGCTTTTGTCGTCAGTTCCAAAGCATCCCATCATCCGACCATACAGGGCAGGAGCGTCACGGGGGAACGGATGGCGTCGATTGAATGCAGGACGTGGCCAGTCGTGGCAACTAAGAATGCTCCATCGCTTGCGTGCACGCCTCCCTCCTCTCAGCAATGGCAACAACAATTTTCCTACGTTTATACGTTCCCGTTTGCGTATGTTTCTGACGAGATTTCTCGGCTTTTCCAGTCGATTCCTTCGCACATGATGCAAAAGCAGATCTCCACCGGGCAAGCTTGTTTTCTGCTGCCACATGTTGACTGTTGAGTAGGCTCATTAGGTCTTATGTACTTGCCTCACACACTTTGTTCCTGCCCTCCACTGGAATAAGGTTGGATCATGCAGAATTTGTCCAAAACTTAGCAATCGTTTTTCGATTTGTACAGCTTCACATTGGAACCGTTCTGTGTTTTTGTTGAATCGGTGTTGCAGTTTGACACGATTGCAATCGCTGGTGGAGGAGCATGCATGCTGAATATTCATCGGACTGGCGTAGTTAGTTCGGTTAGAGATAGAGATGAATCTTGCACAATGTAAGACACTCCACAATCCGCAGTCCTGCCGAGACTTGGGATGTGGACATTTGAAGGTGATTGCGGGGCATTCACCATCACAGATTCCGTGTAGATCAAGAGCCGGATTGCAGTCTGGTGCTAAATCTGTTCCTCCATCTGGCAATAAGTTGCACAGCAACTTTCTTGATAATCACGCACAGAAAATTGCGCCTAGTGCATCGTCACAAAATCGACTCCGACTATCGTTGTCATTTCAACCTGTTGTAGCCTTTTCGTCGTCTCTTAAGTTTTTCCGATTCGGAGGAGACGAGGAGTCTAGAGAGCCTTCTCAGGTTCTACGATCAATAGACTTCCAAGAGCATGTAGATGCAACGAAGATCTTTCTCGAAGATACGCAAGGTTCAGCCGAAAATGTTGACGGAGAGTTTGAGTATCTCGTGAATGGTTCGGAGCCTTTACAATCAGTCGACAATATGGCTAACCTCATGGACTTAGCAGCTGAAGCTAGTGGAGAGGGTGCTGACACTTGCATGGAGATGGTAAAACCTGTTGAACACATGTCAAGACCCTTGATACAGAATTTTGTGAAGTTGAGGTCATTCTGGAAGAGGGAGAACTTCGATCGTGAGGCGCTGAAAAGCGCTGAAACCAGTACGACAGCGACCCAAATCGAGAGTTGCCAATTTATTCCATCGAATTGTGGATGCCAACGCTGTGGAGCTTGTTGTAGTGAGTCAGCGATAGATCCTGGGAACGTAGCAGTGACGCCGCACACTGAAATAGCTCGCAACAAAGAGTACTTCGCCAAGTTTTTATACCGTGTTCCGTCTGCAGAAAGAAAGCGAATCACGCAAATGGCACACATCAGCAATTTAGCGTATAGAATACCTACCATTGAGGTAAGAATTTCGTGGCCAAAACACAACTCTCGCTGTTCCTCGCAATTACTTCGAGCTGTGCATTTCTGAATGTACTGGCATGATATGAAATATCGCCAAACCAAAGTGGACATGGCTTGAATCCCAATACGGCTTTCCTTTTTAAATTTTTTTGTTCGATCTTGAAATCATAGTGATGAAGAGTTCATGACCCTCCCTGCTTGTTCATGTGCATCTTGTTTAATCGCATCGGAATAACGTGAGCTATTCGCATGTCTTGATGGATATTTTGTGTGATTTGAAACAGGCAAGTAAGCTGCTCAGACATCACCACTTCCGAATGGTTACGTCATCCTTCGGGTTGAAGGCATCTGCTCCAGCTTCGGGCAATGGCAAGGACTCCACCACGCAGGACTTAAAGATGAAATCTAACACTGGAGGAAGAAAGCATGATCAGACAGAAGCTCACGCAAGGACAGAGAGGATAGATGAAGGGGCCATGGCGTCGCTGAACCCGGCTGCTGGTTACGCCATGGCCGCCACAGCAGCGTCCTGTAATGCGCAAGCTTGTGACCTACTTCTCTCCAAAGCAGAGAGCGACGCATCAGCATTTGGAGACGAAATTGAAGGTGACTTTCGTGATGATGTGGGTGCCCCTCAGAATTGTGACGGCGATTCTGGGATTCTTGACAAGGACATGGGAGCGTCCAATACCTCACCTAAGAATCCATGGTACATGAGAACTGCAGCTTCAATCCTGAGAGCCGCGCCAAGGGTTCCCGCAGAAGAACCAGAAACAGAGCATCTCCCGCAGGGTTGTCCGTGCGAATGGTTTGCGTGTGAAAATGACGCCACAAGCACACTCGTCATCAGTATCCAGGTATGGCCATCTCGAATGACTTAGCGCCTCTCTTTCACTCAAAAGAGTTTGAAATTCGATTGAAACCTATGGACGTGGCCGGATTTCGAGATGTGCTTCCACAGTGTACTTTAGTCTGAAAATTGAGTGGTGAGATCTTTTCTCACACCCACCATAATTTAGCTCTCATCAGGGTACGGAGACGCTGGCGGCATGGCAAGCTAACCTGCAATTTGAACCAACTCAATTTGAACCTGTAAGTGCACTTCACAAATTGTCACCTCTTGGATGGCTATGCTGAAGACGGCAGATTACGTATTGCACTCTCAATGATTAGGGCTACGTCCAGTATCAAGATTTCGATCGTATGATTTTCTGCCCCTTGATTCGTCATGTAGGAGGCAAACACAGGAGTCATGGTGCATCGAGGGATTTACGAGGCTGCGAAGAGACTCTATGAGGAGGTGCTTCCATGCATTAGTGCTCATATGGAGAAGCATGGGGATAATGGCCGGCTTCAGTTCACAGGCCATTCTCTCGGAGGTAGTTTAGCCATGCTTCTCTCGCTCATGGTTGTGGTTCGGAGCACAGCACCAGTTTCTGCGATGCTACCTGTCTACACGTTCGGCTCTCCTTGTGTCATGTGCGGAGGAAATCACTTGCTTGCTCATCTGGGCTTGCCGCACAGCCATATCCGGTCAATCATCATGCACATGGATATTGTTCCTCGAACATTTGCTTGTGATTATCCTGACCACGTCACGGTTGTCCTAAAGCGTGTCAGTGGCACATTTCGTAATCACACGTGCCTTCTTCAACAGGTAACGTGCCTAACTCGGTTCCACTTTGGATTTGCAGTACTAGCGAACTCTAAGGTACGTTACTTGTGTGGTCGTTTCATACATTGGAGCAGCCGATTGCTCAGTCTGAGTCAGAGGTCAGCTGATTGTGCACGTCGATGCAAATTGTGACATTCGTCTTACACACGCGCCACCGCAATGACTTCCTAATCACCTAATTGTGCTGAATGACAGAGGTTAATCTATGCTCCCATGGGCGAGATGGTGATAATGCAGCCTGAGGAGGACCAGGCTCCTGAGCATCCCTTGCTTCCAGAAGGCAGTGGTTTGTACAGCTTGAGATATCCGAGCCAGGTTGGAATTTCAGGGGCAAAGAATGAGAAACCCTTACAACCAGCGAGGGAATTGCAGTCTGCAGAGAGAGCGTTCCTCAACGTTCCTCATCCTCTTGAAATTTTGAGCGACCGCAACGCTTACGGCTCGGAAGGAACCATTTCTAGGGATCATGATTGTCGCAACTACTTAAAAGTCTTGCAACTTATGCGGCGGAATGAATTGAGGCAGCGAAGACGAACACTCAGAGAGTTCCGACGCCAGCTCTGGACGCCGCTGTCGAAGGAGGGCGATGTCTCACTTGGTCATTTTCACACTGAACCTGAGAATTATTCGTGTTTTACAGACAGGCAGCCCGTGGGCTTGGAAAGTGGTTCACAGTGTCGGGACCTGGAGAGCTCAGAAAATTTGGAATGGGCTGGAAAGCACTTCCCTCACTTCTTATTCAGGCGGAAGAGGTCAGGGCCGTCGTCGTCGAAAAATGACCGGTCTGCTGCAAGACCTTGACTCTCGACTTCCACACTGAAATTGTATTCGAGCATTCTTGCGTGATATGATATAAGGGGGTATTACACCCTGCGTCACGCCGAGAAGATTTGTACAGGAGTATTGAACACACCCAATTGTGATGGAGTCCTCGCGGACTATTTTACATGGATGACTAACTACGTGAAAGTCCAGATCAAATGTCAAGATACGGCCCTCTACGACAGGAGTCACTTCATCCCCTTTCAAGGGGCCTTACACACACACAGCCAGCAAAAGTGTACACAACAGCAGCAAAAACGCTGGCCTTATACAATTTACCATTCATTTCAGCACGAGACTCTCGTTTCCAATGACGATGTAGATGAGAGATGGTTGGAGGTTTTCTCCCCAAATGTTTTCTAGCTTGTGCCAGATCCTCTCCTCACAAGGAGTTCCATACCAGGAGCTTCGCTGAAACGCCAACTACCTAATCTTTGCTTCCGTCATCTTAGAATAGTGGGGTGTCATCTGTGGCTTTGATTGGAATTTTTGGTCTCAAGAATTCTAGCCTGCACTAAGTAATGTTCAGAATGCTCATTAGTCTCTAAATTCATGAACTCTGGCCCTTGTTAAAGAAGATTTGCAAAATGAGTTAGTTACTCAACAGAGCTTTCGGTGTAAAAACTTGTATCATGGTTCTTGACCATCATGATGTCCTATTCTGCTATGAAGATTTTGAACTCTATTATCCCACGACCATGTGCCCTTGGCTATTCTTGATGTGCAGACTTGAAAGCCTCCAGTGGGGTTCGGACTTAGAGAGGCTCATTTTGTGAGCCTCAATAGGGTTCGTGTTGGACGCATTTTCTGTCCTAGTTTGTAGGACGGAAGCGGTTAGCGCTTGAAATATGAGTGTATTGGGGTCTTCGATGCATTTACATAAATTTGCTGTCCCACAAACCTGTCCAGGAGCGACCTTGCAGATTACTTCTATAGTACACTAATTGTGATGGTGACGTCTAACTGTGAAGGCTTCAGATTGTGAATGGCATGGAGTGAATGTCGAGCTGGGGTCTCAGTTTGGATTTATTGTGGTGTGCAGATTTTACCTGCAGACTGGGCATGCCTGGTTTACGTTTAAGCAGTAGGTCCGACTTAGACTCGAGATTTTTCGAAACGATGTGGTAGCGTTTGTTGTCGCCTAGGAATTGACTACTTGTTTTCTTTAAGTGCGATGATCGAACATTGCGCCAAGGCGCTTTTTGGTACTCTGAGCTCGTTTGCTCACCTCGGTTGTGTGGCGATGATCAAGAAGAGATCATTTGTTCTGTCGTACAACCCAGTAAATTCATTTTACGTGAGCAGTGCACAACATCATAACCTTAATAGTCGCGAAAAGCCCCGAGAATCTCAGCGGATTTGAATATTGGTCTGACTCAACCTTTTATTGTCATTAATAACTGAACATGTGGATTCATCTTGTCTGAAATGCTCAGGAAGTGTTTCAGAAGATGAAGACTCCAAAATTACACTTCCATTTTGGACACATGCAGCGAGCGCCATGGTTGAGTGAGAACCATGCCTTGCTGAAGATTCTTTTTTACTATAAAACATTGTATGCCCACTTTTCAACGTCCAGACGTATTTCCTGTTAATGTCTTGTAATAACCTTGAACGAGACACCGAGTTTTGTGGGGAGCCAACACAGTGCTGTCGTCCACGCATCACTTTGTGGGAATCGGGTGGAGGTGATGAAACACGTTGAAAGATCGAGGGAAAAGCAACGAATGCACAAGATGAATCTTAAGATGAGCATCTGACGAGAACATATACCTTCTGCATCGGTCTTGTTCCCACCCGGCGCTGCATAGAACAGGCCAATCCAACCCAATACATGGACAGGCAGGTACTTTGTGGCAATGCGTATTGTCGCAGAGGTGGGTAGCTTCGGAGCTCGCATTTTACATTTTAGGAGAGGAGGGAGTAGCGGGCAAGCCATGGCGGCTCTCAAAACCATGTCAGTGCTGCACACGGTGTCCAGTGGCACTCGTCGTTTGGTCCCTCCGTCTCCGTGTCTGCTTCCATTCTTGCAGGGTTTCAATGGCACGCGCAGTGGTAATCGATTGCTGGGTGCTGGGTGCTGGCCTAAATTATTTCATCATGCAACATGGTGCTCACGGATACGGGCTGACGCGGGAGTTGTGGTTTCGGACGCATCTGAGGTAGGGCGGGGACCTGGCAGAATGGTTGGCAATTGAGATTTGGAGCATTTGTTGGGTGGGATTCAATTTATAGTAGTGGAATGTGTGGGACTGCGACGAACAATCAAACATTCGTGAGGGTGTTTCCTTTGCGGGATTGTTAGTGTGTTTACTTTCATTTTCTCACTATTGGAAAACGTTGACTTTATCTTTCTGGTTTATTTGCACAGAAAGAGTTTCAGTCGGGAGCCTTTGTGGATGGGTTCTTAGGGGTTCAGAGCGAGGAGGCTGGAAGGGAGCTGACTACTTCGGAAATCATATTTTTGGGAACAGGAACTAGTGAAGGCATACCTAGAGTTAGCTGTTTGACGAACCCGGACAAATCTTGCCCTGTAAGTCCGCTCGGGTTCTTGTACTCTGAGACTACCGTTGTTGTAGTAGGAGGGGGATCACATCGCGAAATGAAGCCGAGTTTTTGGGTAGCATGATCAGCGAGCATTTTGTGTTGAAACTTGCTTACGTTGGTGTGCATCATATGCAGACCCTTGAGTAATTTGTGGTTGGAAATTTGGAATTGGTAGTCTTTTATATGCTTGGTTGAGTATACGAAGTAGAGATAAGTGGTGAAATATTTCTTCAAGGAAGACTGAATTTAGCGCTTGGAGCTCATGATACTTGATTGCGTTGCCGGGTTCCTCCAAACAGGTGTGCCTGGCCGCAGCACAGTTAGGCAACAAAAACAGGCGCCGCAATACCAGTTTGTTAGTGCGGTATTTGGCTCCTGACGGAAGTTTGTATAATATTCTCATTGATGCTGGCAAGTACGACTCTCCCTTCCTTTGTACCCTTTCCCTCCGTTGCCCTCATAGCCTTGCCCTAGTCGGTACCTGCCAGTCGGTCATATCATATTAGGAATTTCCTTATTGACCTGGTTTGACATGCAGACTCAGTTTGCGAGGGCTCTTTGCTTTAAGGGTTTTTTGTAAGTCTCTATGGCATCCCATAACATGTTAGCGTTCTTGTACCTACCAGATTCTTCTATCACAGCGCACTACAATGGTTTCCGTACTATGGGTAAGAGTCTACAAAACATCTATACATGCAAACACATTTCGACTAGCTGTTGAATCTTCAGTGTTTGTCAAGCTTATTCATTTACCGTTTTTGTCGTTCAAATTCGTATATGGAGGTGGTGAATCCAATCTAAAGTGGGCATCACTGTAATTCGGTGCAGAATAAGGAAGATAGATTCGGTAATTATTACCCATGCACATGCTGACGCCAACGGTGGTAAGTAACGTGAAGCTCTCTTGTAGTCACTCTGTGGATTGAGCATATGCAGTTAAGGGACAGAACTTGCTATTGTGATATCTCTGTCTCTGAGCATCTCACCTGGTCGCTAGTGACTATTGCAAGCATCAGCACAGTTGGGAAGCGCGGATGAGTCCTGTAAAATTAGCATGACGTTTTATACTATTGCAATAGATTCGGTGATTTGACGCTGCAGGATTGGACGATTTGCGGGATTGGACCAATAATGTACAACCTCATATACCGATATATGTGGGTCTTCGTGATTTAACGGTATGTTCATCAACCTAAACCCTATATTACTGTATATAACCACATTCCATTTATTTCTGCAACCGTGGTTTGTTTACTTCGTATTTGCATTTGTGAGATTCTGGTGACGACTCCCCGTAGGCTAGAATTGTTCAGCATGTTCTCACTTAAGACTTACTATGTTGTATGAAGGTAATGGCCAAATCTCACTACTACTTGGTGGACACAACCGTCATCATGAAAGGGACAGCCGTAACAAAGCTACAATTTATTCCCATGAGTGAAGAGCCCTTCCAAGTGCATGGCCTCAAGGTATGATTTTTCTGTGAGATTCTTTCGTTGCTCGAGACCCTCAAAACAATTATTGGTTTTTATTTTTTTATTTGTTTTTCTCCTGCTTTGGTAAGGATGTGCTCAGGCTTATGAGTGTGTGTCTGGGTTTCGACCAGGTGACTCCGTTGCCCGTCTGGCATGGGCCAGGCTATCGGTCTCTTGGATTTCGAATTGGTGATGTTTGTTACATCAGGTGCATGCCTCGCCCTTTTCAACCAAATTTTCAATCAGTAGTATTTTGATGTAATATACAACCTTCATGTAAATTGATGCTAAAAGGGGTAACCTCATCGTGCAGTGATGCAAGCGAGATCCCTGCCGAGACGTATCCACTTCTGGAAAACTGCGATCTTCTCATTCTGGTAGCGTTCGTGTCCTTTGCTGGCCCGAACCTAGTTATGTATGCGTGCAGAATGTGGACATGTATAAAAAAACATCAAAATCCGGGATATGTGTGTTATGTTTCCAAACGAGACTGTGATTCAATTCTAAGTTGGAAGCAAGCATGTATGTAGTTGGGTTACCCTTCTCAAAGATTAGTACTTTGCAGGATGCCTTGAGACCGGATCGATCAAGTTCGACACATTTTGGAATGCCTGCGGTAAGCATACTGAAGCTTTGATGTTATTTCTATAGTTAACCTTCAGGAAGAGCTCTAGATTTCTCTTAATCTTAAAACCTTCTTTTTTTCTTTTCTTTTTTTTTTTCTACACATGACTTGGCAGGCACTAGAAGAAGTAAGGAAAATTCGCCCGAAGCGAACGCTCTTTACAGGTATATATCAATGTCTGACATTTATGTATATATCTACATATATTTTTGGCGAGACTTGAAGATAGGTATGCTAATTAAGGAAAATGAAAGAGGCATGAAGTGCTCAGAGATATTACTATGGCTTAAATGTGGTGTAAAATGATAGATATACTGTTTGTATTGAAATCGTAGGGATGATGCACACGATGGACCACCACAAAATCAATACGTTCCTTGCAAAACTGCTGGAGAGTGAAGGTTTGGATGTCCAGTTAAGCTTCGACGGTATGAAGCTACCAATCCACTTGTAGATCCCATGATATGAACTTGGTACAGCCTCTTGGCAATCATCAAGATTAGGTAGTGTCGCACCAGTTGTGGAGCATTTCGACTTGTCGACCCGAGACGTACACACTGAAAGAGAGCTTATATTGTTGTTCAGCAGTCGCGCGGATGAAGCTCCATCTGTTACTGCAACTTTAATGTGTGGCTGCTTGGACCAGTGAATTATCAGGGCGACAGACATTTATGCTCAAAATCAGTTGATACTTGAACGATGTTGTAGAATTAGTCTGCCATTCTATTCTATCCACCCTCTTGAATTCATAATGAAGCTTATTTTCGGGCGATAGTTTGCCGAGGAATTCTTTGAAAGCAATCCCCTAAGTTATTTGTTTGTGAAACTCCTTGATGTTGCTGATCTGAGGGGGTTGTGTGGTCTAATATATTCTCTAAGCCCACCTTAATGAGCTGAAATGTTTCCGCCACAATTTGAAGAATACTTCACTCTTCTGAGAAAGTAGTCGTTAGTTATCCAACAAAGTCTATTGCAAATTACTGTACATTTAGCACTATTGAACGCAAACGGATGGGATGGTGAGCTTTGAGTGGCGGCATATAAGAAACAAGTATGACCCCACCGGTGACTTGGGCCGGCCGGCTCTTGACACCCTCTCTATTATTAGAGACCTTTGGGCGATCAATTATGTGAAAGACGAGAAATGGTTTGGAGTTTGTGTAGTCGGCAGCCATCGTACTCTTCTAGGTGGAACTTGCACACTCATCAGTTGTTCGATTGGCAAAACCAGCAAGATAAAAAGTTACTCCACATTGCAGCACATGGTGGAGGTGCTACTTGGCTTCTCTCTCTCGCCGGCTGGATTGTCGTCGTGAGCAGTTGATTTGAGTGGAAGAAGAGAGGATCGCGTAGGTGGTGAACCCACTTAGGGAGATTCGTAGAGGTGTGACACGGGGCGAAAGGCTGGAGGGTTGGCGATTCTATGGCAAAAACCGATGCTTTTGAGCTCCCTGTGAAGCAGACTGTGACTGTTAAGTCAATTTGATTATGCCAATGGTGGGGATTGAATGGCCGGAGCTTCATAAGTTAAGATGATTGCAACGGATGAGTGAAACTTGTGAGAATAGGAGTTGGGTGTGCGTTAGGGGTGGGTTGATGGCAAAGACAGTCGCGAAATTAGGTGATAGCAAGGAAGTAGAGTTCGACGATCCGGGGTCGTGGCATGAAGAGAGCCACCTTCCAATTGACGTCGTTCACCAAATCGTAACAATCCTGTCGGAGCGAGACACTTGCTCCCTGGGAAGATGCTCTCGCTACTGGCACGCCATCTGCTCTTCGGACGTCGTGTGGTTCCATCTCTTCCACAAGCGTTGGGCGTCGACCTCTACAGCTACCGCCATATTCTCATCCCGCCACCTGCGAGGAAAAGATAGTCCCAAGCGTCGGCTCTGCGATTGCATGCTCATCAAGCCCTGCAGTGTACACAACTTGTTCAAGCAGCACGGAGAGGTAGCAATTTTTGGTGTCCTAGCAAACTCCACCACCATTTTTAAAAACCTTCATCTCAAGTCGTTGCCGTTCAATGAACACTAATTCGCAGCGTTTCGTTTAAGCGGCCTGTACGGGCAACGATTTTTGCAGGGATGGCAGGCAGCGTACCGAAACAGTCACGTGGAGATGAGGAAGAGAGCAAGAGCGGTGGTGGAACTGATCAAGGCCCGGACACGACACGAATCCGTGGAGGTGGCCGACTATCAGAAGGGGCTCATGATGCTGTCTACCACAGGCCTGGCCCTCTACGATGTGTTTTTGTTTCTCTTTACATCTGCGCAGAGTGTTCTCGTGAACCTAATCGGATTACACTACTGTCTCTTCCATCTCGGCGCTCAGGTATATTACCCCAACCCTAATTCATACCTGGGTTCATACATACCCTATAGTGAATTTTGTTCTCCCCCTAACCAATCTGTAGGTGAAGTCATCGCTGCTTTCTGGTAAACTCGAATGCTATCTTGGCAACAGGGCGCAGAGCTCAAGGAATTGAAGGAGTTTCTGGCACGAAGTAAAGTGGGAGAAAGGAAGGTGTGTTTGAGGTGGTGGAGCATGGGAGGGTGGGCCAATGGTTTTCGTCGCCGGGACGAGATGCAAATCCGCATGGCCTCCATTGCTAATCTCACCGAGCCAGAGAGTGTCCCCTTGTTCCAAATTCTCGACAGAGGCACTCTACACGAAGTATTGCGCGTGCAAATCTCGGCAGACTTCGAATCCAGCGCATGGGTTCAGCGGGACATGCACTCGCAGCGATGATCGCGGCTTCAAGCGTCCTCAACTACTCTTCGAGCTCCCTGATCTGTGAGTGTCATCAACTTCAACAGACCTTGCTTTACGTCAACAACCATATTCCTACTTCTTCTCTACGCTCCCGTAACCAGGTTGTGCTATCACACATACAACAATTGCAACTAGTGGGTATCGCGCAAACCTTCTTCTTCAGGAAAAAAAAAGAAAAAAAACCCCCCTCTCTCTCTCTCTCTCTCTCTCTCCCCACTAAACTCAGCCTGTTGCTGAATGGCGCAGCTACAAGAACCTCTGTGCCCCGTAAATACAATCCTATGTGAATAACTCCCGGCGAACGAGTCTTCAATCCACCTCACATGTACATAGACTGAACAATCGGGCACATTGAAAGTTTGCAGTGTCAATTCCTCCAACAGCATGAAGAACAGGTTCAGAACCACCATTGTGCGAATAAGCAGCACCGCCCTTTGCAACAATGCTGCTGCTGCTATCGTAAACCCGCATGCTCTGCAGAGTCCATGTATAAACGCGCAGCTTGCTTGTGCACCCGGGCTCACAAGGCAGAAGAAGAAGCTATGGCGTCCCTCCCTCCCTCCGTCCCAGTTCCATTGCAATGCAATGGCATGAGCCCTACTGCTGCTGCTACGAATTCATCTAGCTCGGGGGGGAGGGGCTCCGTATTCGGGCTCTCTCTCTCGCAACATTCAGTGGCTTCTCTTTCTCTCTCGATCTCAATCGAAGCCCCGCTTCCCTCGCGTCCCTCGTGCATTTTCTAACTACTCTATTCTTCTCTAGGTTCTCCTTTTACTTTTGCAACTCTTCGTGCACTTCTTCGGCCCCATTACTTTTACGTTTCAATGGATGTTATTATTGTGCTGGGAGTGACGGGGTGAATGGGAATGTAGTTGATTGTTGTTGTTGTTTACTGTGTGCTTCATCATTTTCCTAGCCCCTTGGAATGGAATGTAAAGTAAGTATTTGAAAACCATATAAATTTAGCAAAAATTGGAAGAACTTTGAATTAGTTTTGACTTATAAATCTTTTGATCAAGAGTGATGTTATTAGATTAATGTATAGTGCAAGAAAGAGAATAATAAATAATGGTACTCACAATATTTCACAACACGTTTTAAAATTTTCCACTATTAGTATTGTTAGTACTATTCATTACAACATGTTTAATAATTGATAGTACTAACAAGATTTGAATGTGATAAATAAACTTCTTTTTTTTCTTTTTTCTGTCATTTGCATAGAAATTGAAATTGTTTTGAGTGTTACATTTGATGGATGTTTTTTTCAATTATCGTCGAAAGCATAATTGTAGGAAAAAAATTGTGTATTTTTTAGAAATTTATTAACAAAAATATGTGACAAATGTATATTTTTTATATAATTGAGAGAGATTGTTTTTGTTTCATGTATATATAATTATATAGTTAACTTTTTTTTATTGATCTTTATACATAGGATTGAATTTCTTCAATAACATACAAACAAATTTATAAATTGATTTGAGAAACAACCTCTTTATTTTGTGCAATATGTATTTTTTCTTTAATGTCATTATAATTATTGCATTACAACTAAAGAAAAAGAGAAAATTATACAGTTCCATGTTAACATTGAGGTCATATAATTATATTGTATAGTAGTTTTAAACTTAATTTTAACATATATTTGATTCCATGACAAGTTAGGTGCATTAGACAATATCAAAATGTAGCGTGACATCAAAATGATAGGAGACTTTCTGCTAAATGAATTTATTGGGTAGAGGATTCAAATAATCATCTTCCTCCACCCCTTAAATATTTTTTCCAAAGATTTTTGAATCGGCATATACTCCTTATTTGATGCATTCTTCAAAATTCATCCTCCAGCTCTGCAGCAGTGCCAGGTTTAGACTGAACGTGCAATAGTATACTGAAATTCCGCCAGGTTAACTGAACCTGAAATGAAGTTCATTTAGGTAAGAAGAAGCAGATATATTATTCTGAAATCGTTTGCCACACGTCCCAAACATTAGCAATGTCGTTGTCTTCTAGTATCCGTTGGGAACCGATCGACAATCATTGTGAAAAGAAAACCTGAATCAACATCATTCACCTAATGTGGGACTCATAAATCCACTGTACAACTAATACATAAATGGGTAGACTAAAATTTCGCTATAGCTGGCACTACCCAGGAGTAGTCGAGGAGGAGAGTGCTGCCAGGCGGATCAATGAGCGTCTATGATAGAGAAGACGATGCTGACGATACTTTTGAATAAACTCAACAAGTTCAATTTCTCCGGCCAGAAATTTATAATGCAAATTCTCAGAATCTTCATCAACTTTACTTACAGCATCTGCACATCCGAAGCCATAGGTTAGACTTCGGTGGGAAAAGAGGACATTCGCTCGAAAGAGGACACAAAGAAATTGCACTGCATAAAGACAGATTTAGACTTGAATCATACCTTTAAGTTTGTGCAGCAGTGCAGAAGGCGAGCAATTGGCTTGCACCTCCTTATACCGGTTATCAAGTTCCTCAAACCTTTCTCGACTAGCAGCAAGCTCTGTATTCCTTATGATCATGCACTGTGGTACACAAGTAAACACATGCAAAATTTCAGACAAAGAGCACCCTGTTTTGGAGACAGGAGAAAACAGAGCCCGCCAGCTCAAATGATGTCTGAAATTTCAGATTCAGAACACACCTAATTATGCTCGAGTAATGCAATGATGCGCCCCATAACAATCATACCTGAGTTCGAAGTTCAGCAATTTCTGATTCCTTAACCAAATTGTTCTCTGCTCGAAAAAGTAGCACATGAGTGAAGCAGCTTTTCATGAAAATCGTTTCTGTTCATCGAAGTCAAGTTCGCTTATGAAATGACAAATAATGTTTCAAGATCCTAGAGTACGACAGCCAAACTCATAATATAAACTCACTTGATTCATCTACAATGGACTTCTTCAGTTCAGCGTTGATCTGCAAATTGCCACAGGAGAGGAAGTAGGACAATATAATGAGAGGATGTAATCATGCAAACCAACTCAGCTGCTTACGACAGAGCCTGCTAACCCAATCCTAAAACAAGATATAGAATTTAAAATTGTCGCCGCCAGGACGAGATTCCAGATGATTCACCGATCGAAGATTCAAAACTTTCATCAAAGGAACCCTTTGACAAGACACTCAAAAGCAAGATTCCGTCCATGCAGGTTCTTACAAATATGCAATACAAGCTTCCACGCTCATCCAATGATATGTGAAACAAACTGAGGCACAAATGACTCTTACAACCTTATCCAAGAAAACTTAGACATGGTTTGAAGTACATACCGTATCCAGGCGTTTCACTTCATCAAGAGAGTGGAGAAACGCATCGTATGCATCTCTGTCATTAAGCAATCTGGCTAGCTCTTCTGAACTGAACATACAAAAAAAAAAAAAAAAAAAAAAAAAAGGACACATCAAGAATCGTAATCAGAACCATTAAGCGGATAAGCTACAAAAAACACGTCAGCATTCCCTGCGTATAAGGAACTGGAGTTACCCACAGAGTAACACCACTAGTGCCAATCTTCTAAGTTGGAAGAGCAACGGCATTCTTGAAGGTCAATCACACTAATGAACACCGCGTGGTGATTAGATCAAAATAGGATCGATAACTCCTTGGTTACTTTCCTAGGATGTCAGTCGCCCTTGCATCAACCTCAGAGCTACCAGGCATAATAAATGTCACCAAGACTTAGAAAGACCTTTTATTTGAAGATACAAACCCAAATCATTTCTGCTAACGAGAAGCTCACCTCTTGTCTTTCAAGCTTGCCACAGAGCTATAAGCGCCTGCATATGAAGAGTGTGTTCCTGAAGATGGGACGGATGTACTAGTTGGTGGTGGATAAGCTCCAGAGTATGATGCAGGACTTGAAAAATAGCCTCCTAAAGATGAGCGTGCATCAGTAATAGGGTGTCGGGCAAGAGGATTGATTCCAGATGGATAAGCTCCAAAATTTGGAGGAGGTGGTGGCAAGCGTGACGGTCCACTGTTAGCTGGAACCGCATCGAAGGGCGGGTACCAGCTCTGAGATGGAGGAGATGGTTGTCCTTGTTGCTGCTGTTGTACACCCCTGCACATTAATTTGAGAATCCCCTAAATTAGTTCCAATAGGGGGTATATGAATTGCGAGGTACATGTGGGGAAACCCCTAAACAAGGATCAAACCTCGAGAATCGAAGTTCGTCCAATTCAACAACCCAGTGTCAGCCATCGCACACCAACTCCGCGAGATTCTTACAAGGGAATGCAACCGCGGAATTCCTCTCAAACATGTAGAAACTTATGCACTGCTCAGGACTCAAGGAATCACGTTCTTCTAAAACCATCTTAGAGCACATGAATCCTAACCTACATCCTGTCAACATACCACGATAGTTCAAGCCCTCTTGAAAACCCTACACACACTGACATATTCGGTGTTAATCGACCAATTTTCTAAATTCACTCGATCTGATTTCACCTGATTGTCCATAATTCCAGGACACGTAACGGTTCAAAACAAGAGAAATTGAAGACGAAAATTAACAATTCAATAGACATACAGAGCGTCATCGGGTAATTAAGACGATTCAATTCAAACTCCATGCTGGTGAACGATGGAACCCCTAGTTGCACAATCAGGAGTATTGAAAGCTATGTTAACTACAGTCGACTCCATACGAAATTGCTGGATTATATAAAAGGACCGCAAAAAGAACAATCCTCGCCCGCAATGAGGGGGATTGAGGGATCCCAATTGCTAATTCCACACAAGCCAGGCTTCCAATCCTTCCAGCTGATCACGAGGCCATATGCGATGCGAATTGGATTGGAGACCGGAGGAGTAATACACGCACCTGATGAAGGGGTTGAACATGGTGGAGAATTAGAATCGGCACGAGAGAGGAGAAGAGGAGAGACGGGGATGGTGCATGCACGATGATCGATGGGGAAACGCCCTCTCCCCCTCCATCCCTCACTCACTCCCTCTCGCTCTCGCTCCCTCGCGTCCACACTTCCTCCCTTCCTTCCCTCCGCCCTAAACGAAGACGACGAAGAAGAAGAAGCTGTTCCGTCGTGCGGAGATCTGATACCCGCCTCGGATCCAGGTGAGGCCCTTCTGATATCCCGCTTTCCAAAACATGGTTAACAATGAGTTAATATGCTCAGAGAATTGTCAATGTACATCTCTGATTAGTATTGCTATGCCCCATGTGATCTCCACACAACATAAATTGACTAAAATGAACACTTCTATGCTCAGGGTGTGTTTGGCAGCTCAATATTTAATCTCAATATTGATCCAAAAATAGAATAAATTAAAAAATATTTTATATATATTTTTGGCAGCCAATAAAAATAATCAAAAGTAATCAAAGACAAAAAAACAAAAAAGTTGAATTAAACCATTTTTTTTTAGGTGAATATATTTTTTTTCTTTTAAAAAAAACTTGCAACTTGCTCTTTGATAAAATATTCATTTTCTCCCTCTTGACCACCACCTCTTCTTAAAGGAAAGAAAGAAAAAAAAAATGTGCAAAAAAAAAGAGGCATATTATTAGCTAGTTGTTTACTAGAAGGTCATACAAGGTGGAACAATATCAATTGGGGATTTAATATTAAATTCTCTTTATATTTATTATAATTATGCTTAGCTATGCTATTAACCATCACAATCTACAAATAAAATATTCAATATTTCTATTTTAGATTATTAGATATATTAAAAATATATAAAATAAATATAATATCAATTTTTTATAAAATATTTAAAAGAAGTAAAAAATAGTATTGAATATTATGCATTATATATAAAACTAATTTTTTTCTTATTTATATAATTTATTAATATTTCATAAAATATAATAAGTTCAATTTCTTTTATTTAAAACTAAGAAAATGCATATCTTTTTTATTTAGCAAATAATTTAAACTTGAATACTTTCTATATAATAAGACACACTTATTTTTTATATTTGATTGTATAATTAGGTTATACTAATATATCATTTAAATAAATTATAAATTATTTATTAAAGGACTTAAAAGAATATTATTTACAATTCATTAAATAGTATATATGACATTTTTTTAATCAAAAATATCAACATATATATATATATATATATATATATATATATTCACACAAATATATATACTAAAAATCTAGACCAAAGGCATGATTTGTTCACTTCTATATTAATCATTTTATTTTTGGCATTTTCATTGATTTATTATGATTCACTTTAAGTTATATTTAATTATTTTATTGTTGTTAATTATAAAAAGAGAAAATATCATAAATATTCTTAATATTTGCAAAAATATCAAGAATACTCTTATATTCTTGATATTATCAAACCTACCCCTTCCTTTTGTAAAAATTGCAAATTTGCCAATCAATGTAATAAGCTATAATCTTTCTATTTTTTTAGTTGCAAATGGGGCCCAAAGCGCATTCTATGCAAATTTTGGTGTGGCACTTTGCCTTACATTTCAGACAATTCATGAAATGGATGCTATCTTATTTTATTACATGCAACAATTGATGATAGGACTCTCTAGGTGATTCGAAATAAAGCTCAAATTTCCTTTATTATATTTATGAGTTTTTTGTAAAGAGGTCTCTCACTTCACTAACTTCTCTATTTTAGAGAATAGTAAGCTCCCAAGAGGCAACAACCTTTCACATTCCTCTTTTGTGAAGTTTTTTTTTTACATATTCTAAAAACAATTAGCAAATTTCTTCCTCTTTATAAAACTCATCTATAATGCTGAGGTGTCTTTTCTTATTTTAGACATGGTCTCTTTTGGTTGTGCTTCTTGCATGTAGCAAGAATACCCATAGTTCTTGATCAACACACCATTACCAAACACACCATTACCAAGGAGAAGGCCAAAGTAAATTCTTGTATGATTAGTCGATGTAGTTTACACATGCACCCACATTGGCAACGATAGAGGTGGCATCCATTTTGTGAGGTGCCCAAGATGTGATGTGAAGTGTCACACCAAAATCCATGTGGCACACACTTTTGGCTCCAATTGCAACTAAAAAAACAAGAAGATTATAATTTATCATGTTGAAAGACATATTTGCAATTATCACCAAAGAGAGGAATAGATTTGATATTATCAAGAATACAAGGATATTCTTGATATTTTGGCAAATTTCAAGGGTATTTGTGATATTTTTCCTTTAAAAAAGTACATATCCTGAGCATCTCATTAAATTTCAAAATTTCAAAATAAAATTACACTAGTTGATTTTGTGCAAATAATTTACTACATATATACATATGTATGTATCTATGTTTTATTTGTGGTAGTAGTTGCATATTTAGTTTAATGACCACGATGATTGGTATCTGAATGGCAGTTTCTTTAGACAGCACTGATAATCATGTGTGATCAGACTGGTCTGCTATTGTACAACAAACACACTGTTCTCATCTCATGCAAATTGAATTTGAAACAGAATCTTCAATAGTGTAGAATCCAATTTTGAAAAGTAATTAGAATAATTAAGATTAAGTGCGTAATGGAGGTGGATAATTTTCCAGTTGTGAACCGCACAATTGGCACCCAATGCTAATGTGGGCCAAGGGGAACGAACTTATCTGACGTGGCAGGCAGGCAGGCAGGGCGAGGGGCTGAATGAGTAGGTGGGCCCCATAACACAACTGTAGTATAGAGCCCAGCCCAGCCACGAAGAAAAGGATCATGGCACCACAGACAGACTGGGGGGGGCAGCGGGTGCGGGCCGGGTGGAGGGACCCGGCGTAGGTCGGGGAAAGGAGGAGGACCCGTCGTCGCCGCATGGCAGAGAGAGAGAGTGAGAGCGCGAGAGGAATCAATCCTCTTTGTTCCCCTTGCTTCCCTTTCGCCCGCTATTCATTCCCTTTTTGTGCGAACTTGCTCGTCCGACGTCTGCAATCCGTGCTCGCGCGCGAGATTGTTGGTTTTTTCCCCCCCGCGTAGAGTTGTCGCAGTGTTGCTTGGCACTTGGGTGCGTTCGGTCCAGTTGGGTTGTGGTCAGCTTCTGGTGAAGTGGTTTGCATTGTTGTGCACAGGTTGGCTGGCTTCCTCCCATTTGGACATGGTGCATGTGTAATGGGGAGGGGCAGGGGGATCGTTCCAGCAGTAGAACGGCAGCTATGGCGAAGCCTCGGCGTTGAGGTGCGTGTTTTGCTTGCCAGCGTCAATTTTCTTTTGGTTGATTTGGGAGGAGGGCAGCCTTGCGTCCTTTTTAGCTTTGGGTTGAATAACGCTTAGGCTTTGAGATGCGTCGTAGCGACGTGTTTAGGTTACCAGGGATGGTTGTAGCACCTGGAAGGGAAAAAACCGTGATGTGAACGTCTCAGAGCCACGCCGTTTGTGATGTCAAGGACGGACATGATTGTTGTGAGGAAAGATTTCAGTTGTGCTGGTTTCGGACTACGGCAGGGAGAGGGAAGGAGGGAGGGAGTGCGAGAGGAGGGGCGGGTGGTATGTGATGCTTCACCAGGTGCTGGGTTAATCAAAGCAGTTTATTTTTCCTTGTTCTCTGGACCTGAAACTTATGTCAGAAAAGGCAATTTTTAGTCTTCACTTATGTCGTCTACAAGGGGATGCTTGTGAGGACCAGATTGATGCCCATATATCTGGAGGAACAGAACGAAAGTATTAGGGTGGGTAGTGCCTATATGTTACTGCAATTTGCACCTTCGCTTCGACTCCAGTGCGGATTGTTGCAGAGTGTTCCAAGTGGGCTTTAGACAAGCCGAGCTAGAAGATTGTGAAGTGAGAATGCTGTGGTGAGCTCACAAAGTTAGGTCTATTTTTGGATTGAGTCGAATCTTTGATTGAAATATGATATCCAGAAGCATATGTTCTCCGCTGTAGTTTAGGGTTGAGTGACAATTATGGATTAACTTCTGGCGCTCTGTTTCAACGTGAGACCTTTTATGTTTTATGAACTGTGCTACCATTCACGAAGGGCAGTATCAAAAGTTGTAATTTTTCCTTCAACTCTTTAATCGTAGTCTGATTTTAATATTCGAATTGGATAGTTAGTTAGGTGTATGTTGGATCAGGGCGAGAAGTGTAGTTTTGAGACGGACGTCTTGCCGGGATTATTGTTTGAGGTATTGTGCTTCAATTCGTATAAAGACTTATGAAAGTCTGTCTTTTGTTTTTAGAGCATATTGTTCTAATCCATTCTAGTAATCGGTTGAAATTAGTATCTTAGTGTTTTTAAGGGCATTTGCAGAAGAGCCTTGTTAGCAGAGATCTGCAGCGCGCTGCCTTGTTTGGGTGTATGCAATGTCCTTCGCGTTTGTTCTTTCCCTGCGAGAATTTATTCTTGTCTCAGGTCGCCGGTGATACTTGGTCTTGATGTTCATGTCGTTGCAAGCGAGAATTGCTAGTTTTGGCTAATACTTGCCTTGCATATATTTTTGATCGTGGCTTCCGGATTCTGGCATGGTCTAATAGGTGGAAGCATGATTGTCAAGCAGAGATGCCAGCCCGTGCGCTGTTGAGGAGGAGATGACACATGGAGAACTGGTTGTGCCTGATGGTAGTGGATATTACGCTATTCTGACATCCGGATATTCAATGATGCATTCCTTGAATCGCTAATCACATGGTTAGGATTTGTCCTTCGTAGCATTAATTCCAAGGCGCGCATTCGTCGACTTTTGATGCGCTTTTAGGAAGTGCATGTAGGAGGGATGTCAGACGCAGAGCCTCTCGTGCATCCTCAATCTCTTCAATTACATCATAGCCTTCATCCACACAACCTGAATCATGGATTAAGTCACGCACAACATGCCATGCATGAGATGCATGTGCACGGCCATGGCGAAGCAGACGGACACGGCCATGTTAGGGTCGACCAACGAGTCCAGGGTCACTTGGAGGGCGACCATGCCCACGGTAATCATGGCCATCACGGGCACGGGATGCACAATAACGAGGAAAATGAAGCTGAAGTGGAAGATCATGACGATGATGCCGCAGACGAGGAAGGTCTGGATGAGGCTAACATGCATTCTGATGGCGGTGGCAACCCGAATGATGGCCCTGCTCCCCTGACTGTGCGCACTCAGAGTTCCACCCAGCTCACCTTATCTTATCAGGGTGAAGTATATGTGTTCGATGCCGTGCCTCCTGAGAAGGTAGTTCTTCATCCGATGTTTCTGCATTCTGCGTTGAGTATGTGCGGTTTGGACCCACTTGTTTCTGTGTTGTCTCAGCGAGTAATTACCGCATGTCCGTGCAGTTGATGCATCTTTTTGGACATATAAGAGTTGATAAAGTTGGATTGGCCAACTTTACTTGGATATTGCGTTACAGGTCCAGGCTGTGCTGCTTTTATTGGGCGGCCGCGAGATACCTCCGGGCATGTCAGGCGTCAACATATCCAATAACCATCATCATCACAAGGTAGAGCTTTTGTGACTTTTCCATGTTAATCGTTAAATATGTATCTCAAGAATGTAGTGCCTCACCTTATTTTGCAGTTGGGTGGATGATGATATCTTCCTTCGGGAAATTGATGTTGCGTTGCTTTTCGGACACTGTGCTAATGCCAGTGGAGTTGTGCAGCTTTAATAATCAAATGAGGTCTTCTTCTTGTTTTAAATTCTGAAAAAGAGCATGGGAATTTGACCAATGTAGGGGCTGACGGATTTACCAGCTCGAATGAACATGCCACAAAGGTTAGCATCTTTGACAAGATTTCGGGAGAAGCGCAAAGAGCGGTGTTATGATAAGAAGATTCGGTACACTGTTCGGAAAGAAGTTGCTCAAAGGTAACTTAATTTTGATGATCCAATATGTTTTCTACCAATATGTTCACAATCTGCATAATATTTGAAGTGTTCTTCATTTATGCACGTCCTACCTTCTCATGGATTGAAAATCAGAAAATTGACTAGCCTTGGGTTTTAACCTTACTCCGAGCCGAATCGTTGAATCCAGTTAACTTTCTTAGATTTTAATCGATGATTTTGCGGTACTTGGCCCCGAAATGATGTGTTGAGAACACTGCTCATTCAGTGCGCTTTATTTCTAATGAGTTCAAATTCAAGACTGTATTCAGGATGCAGCGCAAGAAAGGCCAGTTTGCATCTTCGAGGCCAAGTCAAGAAGAGGGTGCACCTGTTGCTAATTGGGATGGTACCCAAGCCCTTGGACAGCCTGTAGGGGCCGGGGGAGTTCAACCAGAAGTCATGTATGTGGATTTTTCTGGCTTTTAATGCCTTACACACCTTCGTGTGTTTCCTCTACAGTTAGTTCTACTTGGATCATTAGCTGAACATGGCGGTCGGAGTTCCAGTATCTTTGTGAAACAAAATGGTACTTATGGGTTGTGGATAGAAAGTAAGTTTGTTTTCTGTTTCCATGGCTGCAGTTGTGTACATTGTGGAATTGGGGAGCGGTCCACTCCAATGATGCGACGAGGACCTGCTGGGCCTCGCACACTATGCAACGCGTGTGGTCTTATGTGGGCTAATAAGGTCAGTGATTGCAGGAAACTTTCCTTATTTCAGAATTCAGGATGAGATATCACAACTATGTAGATGATTAACTTGGTCGAGTACATGAATAGTATTGATGGGGCTTTGCGTCTAATGTTGACAGGGCGTATTGAGAGATCTGTCCAAGAACCTTTCAATTGCCCCTGGAGTGCAGCAGCAACTTATACTACAGTCACAACAAGTAAGCACATTTACTGCTCTGTGAGGTGGACGAACTAAATGTAAGGTTTCTCCGTCCGGTCTGTTCCCATTTTTGAGTTTACTAGAAAATAATACTCTTCTTACTTTTCTCATGCAAGTTAGCTCGTCTGTTGTCTATCTTGGAGTGATGAGCATTGTCAGAATGGCTGAGCTAGCATGTCGCTGTGGTGGTTTTTGGAGGGTACAGATCATTCTGCAGCAACTGCAGCACCAGGTAGCGGGCTCGCAGCATAGTGCAGAAAACACTTCACAAGTGGTGGTAGGTTACCTGCCTTCTTTGTCTTCGCTTTTTCACTTTGTCTTGTTTCTAGTAAGGTCAATATTTTACTGCAGTTTCACAGGCTTGTTTAAGAAAAAAGAACTAAAGAGAGCAAGAAGATTATTCACTGGATTGAAGTAGGTAGCTTCAGAATGCTTGAGATAGGTTCATGTGATCGTTGTGTTTTCAATCTTGAACAGGATGTACAGGGAAGCCTACAGGGGGAAGTGGACGTACAGAAAAACATTGCAGGCATAGTAGCAGCCGGTGGTGGTCCCGTTCTTGCGGCTGGATAGCCCTCACATGTTTGCCATGCACTTCGAACATCCATCCTCATCCATTGATTGTATTTATATATATTTTTGGGTTTTGTTGCTGTCCTTCGAAGTCTCATGAAAGCCTACATGGGAAGCTTGATAATGCAGCTGATGGTGCGTCCCTAATATACAGAAGGTTTGTGAGACTGCTGACAATGTTGTGCCTATCCTATGTGGAAATTGCTTTGAAAAATATAGTGCTCCTGGTTCCACTCCAAACGCTGGTACGAAGGTACAATGTATATGGACAAGGGGTTGATGAGGCTGAGCTGGGATTGTTTGGGTTTTGCGTTGCCATCCATCAACCTACACTTTCACAGTCGTATGTTTAATTTTTTATTAAAATGAGGGGATGTTACTTGCCTTGGGACTCCCCAGTGTTTCAGAACATCTCTCTATTGGAGTATTGCGCACTTGCATGATTGTTTCTGTTTATTGTTTCTTTGTCTTTATCTCTGTTTATTTTTGCCTCACTAATTGATTTCTACATCTGAGGTTTCTGTAATCTAGAAGCACTCCATGGTAATGGCTAGAGATTTTTATCGATATTGTTTCACAAAACTTCAATGGAACCAAGGTATAATATGTCTACTCTCTTACTTTGGTGTCCACATGGTCAGACTCTCATTATGTTTCACTTTTGTAGATATCACAGGACAGGGTTATGTCTCAAGACTTGTGCAAGAAGACTTTGCTGGATCAGTTTTGGCTTCACTTGCAATTGCCGGACAGCCTCAAATATCGTTTATAATCAGAAACACTAGGTTTAAATTTTGATTTCCTGTGAGGTCACCTTTTGGTACACAAATAGATGCAGAAGAAGCAAAAAATATTATGTGAAAAGAATGAAGCTGGATCCAACAAGAGTAACATGGATCAGGTTGGGACTATGGGGAGAGAGCAAGAGTTGGACTAATGACTGATTGAACAAAAGCTTTTGGGTAGGTCATCCAAGAGATCTTCTGGATCATATTCAAGGTTCTAAGAGGTTGCTACACAACTTAGCATTAATGTAATACAACTTTTAAAAATTGAAGTTCTTACATGTATACCCTCACTCATACACTGCAAGACTATGAGTGAGGATATCCATGTATTTGTAGAAGTTTGATGTTGATTGTGAAGACCTAGCAATGAAAACACCAAAAATCTACAAGCTGAAGATGAAAAATTTCATCACTGATTCTATATCATGCTTTGTTTCATCATATAGCTTATCTTTACTTTTTATCTGTTTTCTTACAACAAAAAATACAGCATTATGAATTAGAAACACAGTAATCAAGCTTATTGAAATGTATTGTTCAATTTAAATCAAGAATACAATAAGGTATTTTATAGGATGTTGTGTATGTGTTGTTGGTGTAGGTTCTCCATGATGCAACTACCATTAGTTAAGTGTATTTAAGTGATGATTGTTGTGAATGTAGATTAGATAAGACCAACTTTAATGTAGCTTTGAAGGAAGACTTAACTTTGATTGTTGCTAAGGATTATTAGAACTAGTGACATTGATACCATATTGGAAAGTAGGAACAATGATGAAAGAATATAATTAGAAAAAATAGACATGATCCAATGGAAGCTAGTAGATTCTTTCTTGATTAATGGTTATTTAGAATCTCATACTAAGTTAAAAAATAGTAGTTAATGAGATGGACAATTTTAAGAGTGATCTCTAACAAATAATTTTATTGCTTAAAGTTTTTTTTATTTTTTATAATTTTTTAGTATATGGCATAGGGACAAAGTTGTTTTAGAACAATCTAATTCCTTGTATTAAATCTTCTCCTTAGAAGATACATTCTCTATTTTGAAGTTTTTAATTATGATTATATTTGAATTTTATAAATAGCCGCCCCTTCTCTCTAAAATTGTAAAATAATATGTCTTGATTTGTTATATTGTATCACAACAAGACCTTGAAGATTTACTTAGTAAATTTTTTTATCAAAGATATTATAAAATGCCACTTATTTCTAAATATCATGCATTATTTATAATCAATTTTTTATAATCACTATTTAAAAATCCTTTAAAGAATGTGTTTATTCTTTTATAGTACATACATTTAAAATAGTTTTATAATGTGACTAAATTGTGATGATCCAAAATTCAAAGATAATATATATGATATATATGTAATGCCAAAGACATAAGGTACTTAAAATAGTAGTCTATTAAAAAATTATAAGATGATTGTGCTAAAATTTAAGCTTTTTAGCTTATTAGTAGATTGAGCAATGTTGAACTTACTACAACTAAGATTTGATACAAAAGTTGTAAATTTATTTTTATTTTTATTTAAAATCTATCCACTTTAATCTTATCATTGTATATTTGTAAATTTTGGTTGTCACAAATAAAAAAGTTATTTTATTTTTATTTATTAGTTATCATTTATATATATTTATATAGATATTTAGATAATATTTTAAAAATAACATTCGACTTTATATTTAGGTTAGTATTATTTAAATCAAGGTATTGCCACCATTTTAAAATAGACCTTTATACATATATAAGTTTAAGTTGGATCAAGTTAAGACCTTATCTACTTAAAATTCTATATATTGCAAATACCATCAATGAAGCAATTTGTATCATGGTTCTTTAGGATTGTACTAGTGACCCATAACAAAGATAAACACAATCCATAAGAAGTAGAAGGTACAAGCATACATTAAAGAAAGAAATACGAGTTCTTTTATTACATCAAAATTTATAATGAACTTTTTGGTGAAATACTATTCTTATAATATTCTTATAGTTTTGAAGGTTTATTACTTTATGGCTCAATTTGTTTGATTAGAAAGGATATGGGTGTGTTCCAACAAGAGATTGATTACTTATTTAAATTTTTAGTAATAAACATATTTATAATCAAAAAAAATCTTGAATTTAGTTTTTAAATTTTTTCTTATTCAATTATATATAAAAAAATTAGGTGTGCTTTTATCTTATAAAGGTACCTAGATTAAATATATAGTTTCTTGTTAAATATAATTATACTAACAGAAGTACTTAATTTTTATAAAATTTTATATGAAATACATGTCTTTTAAGAATAAGACTTAGAATTTGATATGTATGTGTGTGTGTGTGTGTGTGTGTATATATATATATATATATAATATAAATAGAATTGTGACTTAGATTCAATTTTAAAATATGCTACATAAATTCAAAGCCATCAAAAAAAAAACTTGTTATTAGCTTAGGTGACCTACTTAGATAAGATGAATACAATGCAAATGTCTTTCATGTGTGATTTTGCACATCAATGAATTCTAAAAGAGAAATACTATTTTGTGTTAGATTAATATACTTAGTTATCTATAATAATAAAGATTATTTTGATTGAATAAAACTATGTATCTATTAAATGCAAATAATGTTTTAATACTTCTTTTAAAATCAAAGACTATTCTATTATGTTTTTACCAAAATATAATACAAGCTAATTATTGTGCTTCTTTGAAAGATCTTAAATTAAAATTTAAGCTTAGTATTGATTCTAGTTCTATAAAACTCAAAAGATTTATAATAATATAAGGTAAAATGTATAGTCACTAGTCTAAAGAATTATCTCATGCCATCTTAGTTGTGCTGAACTCTACATATGTAGCTAAAAAAATAGGAAGTTTTAATTTTTTTACCAATATACCATTGCAATCTTGTGTTAGGTACTTACATCAAAACTAATAGAAACCAAGATATTATCTTACCAATAAGTATTAAAAAATTGATTTAATAATATATTATTTTTTATTCTTAGAAAAAAAGTTAAAATTTTATAATAATACTTGGTTCCAAATATCAATCTATCAACTTCCATCATTCTAATAAAGAGTTAACTTTGATTGTAATTGACATTCTAAATATTTTCTATAATATACAAGTTTTGGGAAGTAATAAATTTTATTATACAAGTAATCTATTACATTCATTCCAAAGCACTACTCTTTGTGTATTAAACAAAAGATCCAATAATATCCATCCATCTTCGAGATCTTCAAGAAAAAAATATTATAGGTTTAAAGAAATAAATTGCAAAGATTGTATAATATCTCTATGTATGTAAGTTGATTTTTACATTCCTTTGTACAATAAAGTCATCATTAAAATATTATTCTTATACAAATTCTAATTTTTGTAAAAAATTTAATTATATACCCTTCTCTCTCTTCATTCATATTACAAATCTATTTTATTATATAAAAATACAAAGATAAAAACTAAATATATCTATTTTTTTTCAAAAAACATAATGTCAAGTATTACAATCAAAATCCCATTCATCTTGCACAAATGCTAAACATTATGAATTCAAAGTGCTAAGAAGCATTAATGCCTTGGCTATTCAACAAAGGACTTATAGATCCAACAATTAAGTCTTTGATCTACCTTTTATAAGATCTTGATTACATTCTAATTTAAAATTAGTATCTTGTACAATGCAAGGGGCTCAAACAAAAGAAGATTCAATAGAATTGCAACTATGTCTAATATGTTTCATTTTTTCTACATTAGAAGTTTAATTAGTAGTTTAAATAGTAATTTTAGTTCTTAAATTTAAAGTAAATATCTATTAAGTTATATATTATAACTTATAATTTTTTAAAGATTAGAGAATGTATTTTTTTTTATATAATTCAAAAATTATTGCTAATTCTTTTTATTTTTTTTGCAACATCTTATTTCTCTAAGAGCATAATTTTAGTGGCATATACACACACACAAGAGCTTGACTTATTTTTATAGAAGGAATTTTATTTTATTTTAAAGGATATTATTGGCTATGATTACTTAAAAGATATAATCAAAAAAAATACATCATTGTATTAATATCTCATTACATTTTTTTTTTTCAAATTATTCTTAAACAATACAATAAAAAAGGTGGATTTTTTTATTTTTAGAATAAAAAATATAAATATTTAATAACTTGAATCAAAGAATTATATTCTAAAAAATACATGCACCTATAAGATCTTAACTTTCCTACATAATTTTTAATTTTTTTTTGAATGGGATATAAAGTTGTTAAATGGCAAGGTCTTCAAATAGAAAGAATATCTCTATTCATTTACTTTGTTTGTTTGTTTGTTTGTTTGTTTTTCCTAAAATCTAAAATATAATCTTTAAAGACTTCTTTTGGCTTCAATTATACAACTTGGTAAAAAGAATACAAAAGATAATATGCAAGTGCTAGCAAATTACATCCCTTCAATTGTAGTCTTAATCAACAAATAAACAAGCACTCTTTACCACCAATGTCTCTCAAGTGTTGATTCTTATGGAACAAAATTAGATCCAAAAAAGAATCTATTATAATTGGTCTATTCTTTTTTGGATCTAGTTTTGGTTAAATTGTGCGTCGGGAGCAGCTTGGTTGTGGTGGTATGTCGATGCAGACATGGTAACAGCATTAACACTTGGGAGTCACCGCAGAGCTGGCGTTCATGTTTCCCACCAGATTTGGTCACATCGAGTGTGACCAGTGGACCAGTGGAGAGATTTATCGGAATCGTTTTGTTGTTAATTTGGTTGTGTGGACTGTAATACTGGGGCATAGCAATCCAGCAAGCCTGTGTTCGCTAGCTATCATTGTCATCGTTCAGTTATAATTCTGCTGCACAAGAATTTTGGAAGACAGGTGCCTTGGTCAGGTGCTTCATCTCTAACCGTGGCGGTGACGAATTCCGATGTGTAGTTACACTCGGTGCCTTTCCTGTGCTGGGAGAGACTACAGCAGCACTGCACGACTAACCTTGCCATAGTTTACACTGTAGAACAATGCTTTCAGTTGAGGTCCAAGAGAAATTTTGGAAAGACCTGACAGTTGAGGAATCTCACGACCACACATCACTCCTGTTCTTGGGTGGCTTGACAAATTAGGATTATCTGGCAAGCTGTTTCAGTTTTGATATTGCGCTCAATTTTAGACAACTTCTGACACTATTCGAGGAGCGGTGATCTAGGGCACCACTCTTTTAAAACGGGAAGTCTTGTCGGGGCCCGTTTTGAGCAAAATCCTACGACATAGGTGAATTGTCTTCACATACACCTGCTAAAAATGGTAATTTTCCTTTCCAATAAATAGAGGCTGGCCACTTGCTGAGGACATGGTGGGACATACACACGAGCTTCTTGCTGACCTCTCGCGGGTGCAACCGGAATCTGGGCATTGGCTGGAGTGGCCCAAGCAGTGACCTTATCACAGAAGCGACAGCATTGATTAATCGCTGGGTCCACGACGAAAGTCGCTAGTGCTCATGTGCACCAAGAGCTCGGAAAGTAGGAAGATGCCTGCTCCGCAGACACTGCCCAAGGGTGAAGACGGCCAGGAAGACATGACAGTTGCGGCACCCTGCTGCCAGGCTGCGTCACCAGCAACGTCTAGAGCCCAGAAATAGCACCCAAAACCCCCAAACCTACCAACCAAAACACACCCACGATGGTCCCGACGTAGCGGGAGAGTACCGCAACAAAGTCGTGTCATGTGGACAGACGTGGCCTCCGCTTGCAGGATTGCAGGTGCAGGGGGTGCTCAGTGCCTCTGGGACTCTCCGCGTGCAGCTCTAACTGTGGAGCTTCCGCAGGCTGCATGCTAAACTTCTTAAGTCCATGAAGTCCATGGAGAATACGAGGGAATGGAAACAGAATGGAATCGAAGGTCTCACCGACTGTCGGACCATTCTGACATACCGTCTGTAGTGTTATCACGTTCCCCCACATCCCCTCTGCCTCTCGCATGCTCTCTCGGAATGGGTCTCCTCACAGGACGGAGAAGGAAAAGAAGGTCCTTTGCCACTTGGCATGCCCGAGCCTCCAGTGAAGGCCCAAAATCATGTTCATATCCATACGCATGTGTACATACACTTACAGTTTCTGTACGATACTATCCCTGTACACTGTTCTTCCGCCGCCACCTTGCAACACTGCACTATTAACATAACATCGCTTTGTTGCCTCTCAGGTATGGGAAGCTTTTAACCGGCACTGTATCGTGAAGATGTTGGCAATTTTGATTGTTGTCGACGTTGCATAGTTTTCAGCTCTGGGTTTCGCTGCATTCGGTGACGTTTCCAGCTCGGAGGATTGCTGAGGGCATATTGGAGCCGTGGATTTTCTACATCGACCTCCCCTCTCATTCTCTCTCGTTGGTTCGCCTGTTTGTAAGGGTTGACAAGTTTGGAGAAGGCAGTCGAGCGGTCCGGTGTGTATGGTTGTTTTCAAGGATTGTTGATTCCCGCCATGTTTGGCTTGTTAGGTTGCTATGATTGGCTGTTGTCTGCATCTTTCCTGCTGTGCATGCTTGGGTCGACTTCTTGAATCGCCCAGTTTCTTTGCAAGAGGGGTGGGGATGATGGTGTTCTGTTTCATGAGCGTTGTCCAACGAGTTCTTTACTTGCGGAAGTGCAAAGCCTCACTGCGTGCCTGCATGTGGCTACCCAGGTGAATAACTCCATCGCTGTGTTACAAAGAGTTCAAAATGGTGCGATCAAGGTTGTCAGCGGCTGTAGAAAAGCCTAATCTGGACGTCATTGTGGATTTGGGTCATCCGCTTCTCAACTCCTCCGTCGATGGTTTCCTCAAAGTCGGTGGAGTGAGTGTTCCTGTTCCCTAATCCAGCTTCAGGATCTGTTGCATTGCATAACACACGTGTAGTTGTTGAACTGCACTCTCTCTCTCTCTCTCTCTCTCTCTCTCTCGTGTGTGCGTGTATATTTATATACAGACATAAATTGTGTTTTCTTGCTGGTATTGCTCTCTGCGGCCAGCAGATAGCGATAATAATTCATGTCGGTGACCTCCTTCTGTTCAAATACAGTCTCCAAGAGTCACACGTCGACAAACTGGAATTGAGTATTACAAAGGGTTCAATTTGACCTAAATTGTCTAAACAAGAATTGGAACTCCGGAATTTAGCCCGTCAGAACCTGAAATGCCTTCGGTCTTTGCGAGTAGAAGGAACATGTTTTTCCTAGCAGAGAAAGTTAGCTTCACAAAATATGCAGATTGATATGATACGCGCTTTTCTCATGCAGGTCGGTGTAGCCCATGCGGCTGTGCAAGATACATTCCGCATCCTGAGGAGCGGTATGAATCCTTGCCTCATTTTCATGGAAGAGGTGGTTAAAGAATCACTTGCTGTGTAGAGTTTGCGTGTCTCCAGGATTCAATCCTAAACGATATAATTTCAGTGAGTTGTAAAGCTGGCCCCAGTGCTTCATCTCTCACATTCTTTCCTAAGTAGGAGAACGTGGTGAAAGTTCTTTTAGCAATCACCTAAATGAGAAGCGTGTTTGTGTTGTGGTTGGGTGCGCAGACCAAGTTACGAAAAACGACTTGGAGAAATTGGTGAGGAGAGCTGGTTTTGAGGGTCTCCAATGGGGTAAGCTTTTATTTGACAAGAGGTTGATTGGCTTCCGGTGAGGTTCACAACCTAAAAAAGAAATTCCGAATTTGCGAGAGAATGTGGTATCCGTCATCGTTCCACATGGAACCTCAATCTCGATCATACAATCCGGTTGTGCAGGAGCGGTAGCTGGTGTGTACGCTGGAGTGGAATACTCTTTGAAGAAGGCTTGTGCAAAGAAGCAGGACTGGGTAGGCAACCTGCATTATATAACAAATCGATTCTGTCTCTCTCATTATGCTGTAGACATCGTTTAGGCCATGTCAATGTCCAATTTGATTCGGAGGCGCTACTCACTTGAACCGACGTGGTCACTGGAAACATGACTAGAGAAACGCTGCCATTGGAGGGGCAGTGACGGGAGCCCTCCTATCTGTTGGCGACGGCAGCTTCTCCAGGGACAAGATGCTTCAGCACGCCCTCACAGGTGCAGGCATTGCTACAGCATCCGAGATCATCCGCAACCTGGTCTGAGCTCCCCATTCTCTGCAAACAGGTAGCATCTCCATGGCTCCTGCTGCTGCTGCTGCTGCTTATGCTGCTTTGGAGGAGGAGGAGTAGCAGCAGCAACAGTCTTGTGCTGCCAGGGCCTGAAAACTGTTTTTGATGGGACTGGGGATTGCCATGGCTCGTCTCATGCTGCTCCTGCTCCATGTCCAGAGCTTTTGTGATTGCTGGGGAAATGGGGCTTGTGCTGCAGACCTCACACATCCAGAGGAAACCTCACATTTATTCATTCTGATCCATCTTCTCTTTCCTTCTTTCCTTTCATGTTGCCCTTATTCAGCTTTCCATTGGATTCAAACATCTCTTCCTTGTGTTATAAATACCTATCTATCTATCTGTCTCGTTCTCTCTTTCTAGCAGCTGTTGTTTATTGTAAGCTTTTAGGCTTGAGTGATCTGTCATTTGGCATTCCTATGAGGTTTTTTATTTTATTTTTTATTTTTTTATTTTTTAATATATATATTAAAAAATAAATAAAACTGGTTGTTTTCATGAGTGTGGTTGTTTGGAGCACACGAGTAGCATTTTATCGACGGATCACACTGGAATGGTGAAATACCGTAATAAATGGACGTGCATTTTTATAAATATGCTTACTGTTTTTTCGTTGCTTTTTGATCGGAAATTCGAAAACCCTAAATAATATCATCTATGTGTTTGTGTGTTTGTGTATGCATCTCTCTCTCTCTCTCTCTCTCTCTCTATTTATATATATATATATATATATATACATATATGAAAAATAGAGGTGACTTTGAAAAATCGCAAGAGTAATTTTACCTATTAAAATTATTGACAAGACAAACTTCATGATTATTGTATTAAGATATATTATTAAATAATAAATGTATATTATAATATTTTGATACAAAAGATAGATAAAACAAATTAATATTGATATGTTTAAAATATTTTGGTTTCATTTTCATTTGAAGAATCTTGTTTATAATTATCATTTGGAAACATATATTTTTAAATGTCATAAAATTTATACAAGTTCTTAAAATAAACCTAACAAATCCAAAGAAATCTAATCAAATCTTGTAGCACATTTAAAACCTCAATAATTATTAAATTAATTATTATTTTAGTTTAAATTTTATAGGATTTTCATATTTCAATTGAAAATAAGCACAAAAAATATAAAGATAATTAAAAATACCAATTAAGAGAAAAAAACACATAATTTACTTAAATATTGACCAACTTTCTTTTCTAAACTTGATATTAATCTTCTAGCATCAATATCTCTTTCTTACACCATTTACTTAATTTCAAAATTTATAAAAATTTCAAAAAAATATTAATTTTTATCTTACAGAAAATCACTTTAATCCAACAAGCAAATTATCCAAAATCATAAAAACCTTTAGTAACCTTCAAAATCCAATTTTTGATACCTTAATTTACTTAAATAGTAATAATCTTTAATTTAAATATCTATTTAAGCTCAAACTCATAATACACATGTAACACAACTATGTACATAAGCCTAAAAACTTTCACTTCTTGATTTGTCAAAAAGTTTAAAAAATTATCTAAAGTATAAATCTTTTATTTTTCTACAAAAAACCAAAGTCATCTAAAACAACCATGACTTTTCAAAGCACTCATAATTTCATTATCTACTTAAATCATTTAAAATAAATACTTAAAAGAAATCCTATCAAGTATACTCACCAATATCCTTGTCTAATTTAGAATAAAAGCCAACAATTGTTGTGGATGTATAATTTTTTATCTTAGAATTTGGTTTCAATTCTAGTTTACAACTAAATTTATCCAAATATCAATCTATGGGTTTTTTTAGATAATGATTTCTAAAACTACTCTTCACTTTGATCTTAAGATGTCTATAATTTTATTTTTATTAATCTTCTTTTTTTGTTAAACTTCTTGTTTTTGGCCCTACAAAGTTAATAGAAGTCATTTTTACAAAAAAAACAACATTAATTCTAAATGTTTTATTATCTCCCTATCTTTTATATATATATATATATATATATATATATATATATATATTCTAAAGTAATTTTTTATCATATTTTCTATTAAGCTCTTCTATAGTATAATATTTTTTCTTCCACTAAATAGGCATATTATAACATTACAGTGAAACTATAATATAAGCATAGTTGTTGTCTTTTCTATTTACCCTCTTTCTAGCCTTTTTTCTCCATTTTTATTGCCTTCTTTTCAAATTTAAGCTCTTCCTTAATGCACCTTCTTTTGAGGTAATCATATTGTAATTTGGTACAACCTTTATTGAATTATAAGTTTCAAGTAAGTATAGAGCATGTTTGATGTGGTAGACAATGTTGCGTATGGAAGTGGAGGGAGAAAGAGAGGGGAGGTACATCTTCTTGATATCCAATACAAGATACTTAAAAGGTGCCACAAACACAATATAGAGAATACATTGAAATGATCCATACAAAATTGCATCTCCACCACCAAGCAAAGGGCCTACAATTTATTTACCTAATCTATTGCCTAATGTCACAATCACCATTCCAAACACTATTCTCAACTCTTCTCTCTTTTTTATGGTGAAATATAAATCTTCTACATTGACATATTAGAAATCAATGCCTTGTTTTGTTGCAATTTTTTTTTTTTTTTTTTTTTTTCTTTTTTATATATATATAGTTTTGTAATTGTGGTGCCTATTAGATTGAATATTTTTTTTACTTTTGCCAATTCTATGTGTGCTCTAGTTAGACAAGGATTATGGATTCGGAGCTTGCCTTCTATTATCATGTTTTTTGAAAATTTTAGAAAAAAAAAAAAAAAAAAACACAAAACACAAAACACAAAATAAGTAAAAAGAAGAGGAAAAAAAAACAAGTCATGTTGAGATGGTAGCACCAAAGCAACCTTCTTTTGTAATGTGCCTAGGAACCTCTTTCACTACCATAACAAGTCTCATATAAGATGGATGAATGTGGTTGCATTATTATTTTCTAGTTCTTATTTATAGATAAAATTTTATTTTTTTATCAAAAGATTCTATCATTTTTTTTTGTCTTTAAAATAGTTAGCAAATATTTAAGACATGTTGTCTTAAGACTTTCATAAAATCTAAAAATAGATCATTTTAATATTATATGGTATATAGATAGATAGATAGATGTGTGTGTGTTTGTGTGAGAGAATTTGTTGCAAAGTTGGAGATTATAATATATGCACAATTGGCATTCATATGTTTATTAGAAAAGATATTTTTTAATAATGTTAAATTAAATGAATACATTATAAAAAGTGATAGGATTAATTTGGATGTATTAAAATAAATAAAAATCTTTAGAAAGTTATTTTAAAGTCACCATCCATTGTGTGTATGTGTGTGTGTTTATGTATATGTGTATATATATAGGGTGTTACTAATGTCACCACAAGTTTTGCAACTTCTACCATAACTTCCTATCCACATCATTTTATTATAGTTTTTGATAATGCTACAAGTTGCTCTAAACTTATGTTGCATATTACAATGCACTTCATAGAATATTGCTAATATATATTGCAATTGACAAAGAGCACATTTTTTATGGATGTGTACTTTAGTGTTTCATAAATTGCATTGTGGTATACAACACAAGTTTAGAGCAACTAATGGTAGTATTAGCAAAAACTATATTGGCACGTAATAGATAGTAAGTTGTGGTGGTAGTAGCAAAAAATGTGGTGGGATTAGCAACACACTCTCTCTCTCTCTCTATATATATATATATATATATACATACACACATACACATATATACTTGTGTAGTAGAGTAAAATAAGAAATATTGATTTTAAAAATATTTTTTATACTTAATAACTATTAAGATCTAAACTAAAAAATAATGTTTAAAATTAAAATAAGATTACATGAAAATTACACCAATTTTGTGTTTTGTGTATTATATTTGATTTGATTATAAATTGGATTTACTAAAAAGGATATATAAAATAACCATTGAGAGTAGAATAGAATCTTAATTCTGACAAGCATTGTGAATGTTCTTATTGCACTTACGAAACAGAAAAAATTCATCAGTTATGTCATCTGATTTAATTTGAAATTCATATTCAAATTATTTATTTTTCACATTTTGATTACATAAGACGTTTAGTGAAGACATACAAGAATTTATCCTCGCGAGCTACTAAAAAATCAAAGTTGAAAACATACATGAATTTATACGATTGATTTTTGGTATCTCTTAAATCACTGCTTTAAATCATTTAAAGAATTGTAGAAAATGAATAAAGGGAAAGTCCATGACCAATTATGATGTTTCACATGTCAGTGTTTAAAAATTACAGTTATCAAAAAATACAGATGTATTTAAATTATTTTGTTTAAGAATTAATTAAGAGCTTCTGCAAATGTAAGGTTCGAATTTTTATTTTATTTTAATTTACTTTATTCATACTATCCAATCTTATAAGCAAGAACATTGGCAATAATTCAAATTTTTACCAGAATTATTATATAATCCAAAATTAAGTTTTACTAGTATTTTATATTGGATCAAGGTATATTTACAATAACTAGAACATAAACATTACAGGAGAATATGTCATATTTTAACCATTTAAGAAAGACACTGTCAAGAAATGTCAAAACACCTTTTAATTATATTCTTGCGGAAACCAAAATCAATGAAAATTTTACATTTTTTTCATTTTTCTTTAATTAGCACAAGATCAGGTTTATTTCTTCCAACTAATAGATAAACAGGTGATGTATGAACGTCATGAGATAGTAGGAACAATAAATTTTGGAATTTCTATTAATCAGGTTTACATACGGAGACATTGCTAGCTCATTTGGGCTATATTACTGAACAGTGTTTAGAAACTTGTTGATATGCCAACTTGGAAAAAAATTAAATAAAATAAAAAATAAAAAGGGGGGAGGGGGGGGGGGAGAAAAAGATAAACTAGACCTAAGCATTCATACTCAAGGACACTTAGATTAAAAAAATTATCGAACAGGATTTAATAAGGGAAGAAGCACGATCATGTATTGGATTCCTTGAAATGGACAAAGACCAGATGGTAGATAATTGGTAGTAGTGCGGGATGAAATGACCTCATTGCGCCGGAAATTTTCATGCGTCTATGAGTAAAATAAGAGATGGGTATAAATAATGAATTTGTGTTACGAAAAACCAACGGAAAGCAGGTTGCAGACGAATGAGAGTTGGACAAGGCGGCTCTAAAGCATATATTCGCTGCAGCTGGTCTGTACACGACCAACAACCATTACATTTGGTAGAGTGTGGGGGATAAGAATTATGCTATACAACGCTGATTCAGAGCACTAGGCGACGTCCCTGTAGGGCTAGACCTGTCCGCACCTTAGAATCGCCACATCGGGTACTTCAGAAAGATGAGTGGTAATGCGATGAGGTTCAAGCAACTGGACTGAAGGAAAAAAATAAAAAAATAAAAAGAAAATGAAAACTAAAATAAAGGATATATAAAACACAGGCACACTGCAATAGGAAAAACCAGCTCTTGAGAAGTGAGACATCACATGCGGCGGGCCCTGCTGCTACCCGCAATACAGTAGAAACTGGCTCGTAAAGCAATGTCGCTAGAATTTATGATCTCGAAACTGAGGACAAAGAATCCACCCACCGCACACATCCAGTTGATCTGCCTCTCCTAGGAATGCTGGCTTCAAATCGAAGAGTGAATCACAGTGGCCACAACAATCAGATTACTTCAGAATTCGGCCTTCATGTGACCCACAGGAAGTTGACCTGCACAGATTATAACCCACCCGTCATCCGGTCAGTTCCCTCTGCGTTCAGCGGCGTTTATGCCATTCATATAGTGGAATACTCAAAACCACGGAACCAATTGAACTAGTGACATTTCCAGGGAAGACCTTCAACCGCTCCAAGCCGACTGGTGTGGTGGCTCAAACCCCTCTCAACCAAACTTTGAAGCTCCCCGGAATCCCATCCTGTGGACTGCAGTCACCAATTACAAAAATGCACCTAGTCAGAAACTAATCTCACGTTCTCAGTAGTTTTATTTTTTTTAATTAATATGTATTTGTTTATCTATTTAGGACAACTAAAAGACAACAGCCATCTTTGAATGCTGTGGTGCATCAGCGTTCCTGACAAGCTGCCTGTAAGCACGTTTAGCCCCCACCTGAGGGATGGTGGCAGAATTGTGGAAAGAAGGCACCGTATGTCGCGTGATGTCGGCGAGACTAGCGAAGGGTGCCGCAGTCACATCCAATCCAGAGCCCAAAAACCGGTACTCGACACGCCTGCAAGGTGTTCCATCCAAAAAGCCTGGCCCTACTTGTTTCCGCGCATCAAGCTGCTGCATCAGTCCAAACGCATCTGCTTTGGTCTCGGAACTAGAACTGAGAGTGCTTGGCAGCTGAGTCTGCAGCATCTCCTTGTTGCTCAAGAGCTGACTCTCGAGGGCCATGTCCGCGTGACCTGAGCACACGGATGCCAGCCTCATTGATAGATGCTGCGAAACAAATTGGGGGCATATCAAAGCTTGACATGGAACATCCCGAAGTTCTGATTTACTCCTAGATATACTCCCACGCTAGACCTGAATTGGAAGGAAGGAAGGAACGAGAGAGAGAGAGAGAGAGGCTAGACGTACTTCGACTTGGCGCTGGAGGAATTGAACATAGTTGATGATCTCGTCGAGCATGACCGCTTTGCCCGTAACTTTCTTGCACCCAGGAACGAGGTCCTGCAAGTACTTCATCCGCTCGCTGATCTTCTCGCGACGCACCCGCTCCGCCAGGCTATGGCTGTCGGTAGCTTGGCCCCTGCGAGCACGCACATGGATATAGTCCTGCTTGGAGAACTCCTTGGACTTGTGATTTTCCTTCTCCTTCTGAGCTGATTTGGGACTTTCCGTCGACTCAGCTGACGTTTCACTAGACTTGGTATTATCCTCTTTCGTTTCTTTATCACCTCGATCAGCTTCCCCTTTGCTCCGCTTAGGGTTGGATGACGCCTCACCCTCCGAAATCTAGACATCGGCCACCACCAAACGCCGTTCAATTCACTAGTGCAGTATACTTACTGCCGGGATCATCTTTGTTTTGTCGTATATCTTTATTTTTATCATGAGCAAAGAGAAATGAACTTCAAAGTGCAAGAAGTGGGGATATATTATTACCTTAGGGTCTGGAGACGACGGATCCTGCTGCTTCCTCTTGCTGCGATAGCAAGCAGTGTCATGACTGGGTAACTTTACAGGTGACTCGCCGCGGCTGACACCAAGTTGCTCTGCAGAGGAAAAAGAGTTGTGATTCTCTTTCAGAGCTGTTACAGTTACTTCGACCGGCTCATGGGGGGTAGTTCCACGTCCCATGGCAGCTTCAGTGATTCCCTCAACGGCTTCCAACTCCGGCTGTACACTGGCAGCACTCGCTGGCAAACACTTCGATTCTAGACTACTAGATGCCTGCACTTCGAACACTGTGGGCATCTCTCCAGTTTTCCTCGGGGCACTGTACGGATACTTTGCAGTCCCACAAGCAAAGCTGGAAACCTGCCCAACACGTTCCGCCAGTGCAGGGTCCGACGTGAACGCGGGTGCCGAAGCACCAACTCCTTGCAGTGCGAGACCGCCCTTAAAAGGATTCACGGCAATATTCTCCGCATCCCAAGATCGAGTACCACCCAGACTATTCCCCGCTAAACTTGTCCTCCCCATCACTCCCCTAATCCTGGCATCCTCCATGATGTTGAGTTGGTTGCCAACCACACACGCGGACGAGGCGGAGGGGGAATTATCCATGGCGAGCAAACGATTGCTATTCACAAGGGTGGATCTGGGCGTCGACGGACCAAGCGAGCACCCACGAGACGTCGCACCGGCTATGAGCGTCTGCTCGGCGCTCCGAGAGATTTGCATCTCCTGCAGGGTTTGCCAAGTCGCAGGGTAAAGGATAGAAGCGCTTGGCTCTACAACCCTCTCCAGATCACTCGCGTAAGGCATAACCGCGTCCGTAGAGTATGAAAGTGGCAATGCCGAGCTGTGCATCAAGCTCATTAACATTTGGTCTCGTGCTGGCGCCATTATCGCCATGATACTAATCAACAACACAATTGTGCAACCACCTCAAGCAAGCGCTGCACACTGCAATCGACCGACTCGGATAACTCCTACCGCCTTCTCCAGCGGAAAAAAAATATGGGCTAGAGCGCCGAACAGAACCTCTGCAGCTTAAGGGCAGTCAAACTAGGCCAATCACTACCGTAGACGTACCGCAAAGATTATATTAGAACTAAAACCGTCCATCTCCTGCAACTGAAATGCCCACTTCTGAATCTGCTACCCTTACGCTAATCAGATAATCCTCCTACAAACGCAGTTGACCGTTCCCTTCAGCTCCTTCGACGCACTGCATCCATTCAACACGTGTTCCAATCCCCTACAACATCGATCAGACGCATACAGACACTACTTTCTAGCGCTTCAAAAAGCGGAAGTTTCGTATTGCTAATCCCTCACAGCTTCTGCACAGCCCAGAACCGCCCAATTCTGGACCTGCTTTTGGTCCTCCACTCCCCTAGTCTGCAACAAGGTGCAAATGCCACTAGGGGACCCAGAAATCCCCACTGCAACTACGAGAACCAGACGTGTTGTTGTCTTGTAAAAAAACGATCATGTATTGCTACTGTATGATCCCAACTTCTAGAAAGGAAATCCGTTCCAAAGAGGCAGCAGCAGCAGCAGCTGCACCAAGTAGCGTGTGACAGTCATTACGAAACATGGGCAGCTAGAGCGATGGAAGTGGGAGATACATACACTGGGAGCAGGGAGGGCAGCAGTCAGGGAATGGAGTGTGCAAGGCAAAGGTGGGGATGAGGTGGGGGGTTTGGCAAGGCGCCACTGCAGTCGTCATGTAGGTGGGGCTACGAGGAGAGAGCTGGAGGCTACTAGACCCACTCATCAAGCGGGGGGTGTGCGGGTGGGGGAGATAATTACCATATGCTATTCTCATCATCTCGGTCCGTGTGACACCGAGAGGGTGGCGCTGCTGCGGCCTGCCCTGCCTCCACTCGTGCCAGCTCGGCCCCCACCTGGCATGCACACCCCGCTTCCCAATCACTTCCCCGCCCCCTCTGCTATCCTTCCGGGGCCCCTCCCTCCCCTGCCCTGCCCTGCCCCACCATCTGTCAGCGGCTCTACGCATCCACCCAGCAGCGCCCCCCTTTGGTCCCACTGCAGTCGTGACGGCGTCTTTGCGAGGCTCCCATCCTAAAAAATCTTCCATATATGAAGTAGCAGCAGCAGCAGGAATAACAGTAGTAGCAGCAATAGCAATAGTAGCAGAGGCATCAATTCACTGGGGTAGCATAACTCCTCCTCACTCTCTCGTCGTCGTCGTCGTCGTCCTCCTCCTCCTCCTCCAGTGCTGCTGCTGCAGATCCCTTCCTCCCTCTCCCTCTTCCTCTCTTGTTATCTACACTTGGGCTTGGCATGGTTGTGTGTTGGAGTGCGTGTGTGTGTGGGTGTGGAGCCTGAGTCCTTTGGTCCTTTGCAGTTCTTGGCCTCAGATGTATTGCCTGGTTGGTTTGCTGTTGCAGCCGCATTCTCAGCTTTGGATCTTTTCTTCACCTTTTGTTTCGCTCTGATGTTGTTGTTGTTGTTGTCGTTATGATTATCATCATCAGCATAGGCCTTCTGGATTTCTAACTTGCTTCTTATTGAATGATACCCTACGACTTGTCCTTTTCACCATCTTTACTATATAGTCAGCTTCGGGTGACCAAGCTTTATTTATTATTTTTGGAATAAACAGACAAATTGATAAATATCTTGGTATGTTCTGAACTTGAGGGTAACATTTATGTGTATGTGTATGTGTGTGTATGTATGTATGTATATATTTATTTATTTATTAAAGAAGAAGAGAGAAAGATAAGAGCAAAGGAACTTCTAAAATATTAATGAATTTAAAATTTTAACACTAATATAAAAATATATGTGAATTGATCTAACTATTTTGAATAATCAAATAGTCAACAATGTGTTTATGAAATCACAAATTTTAGATATACTTCAATGAATGTGGAAGTTTCCAAGTTAAAAAATTTGGCAACAAAACTGGAGGGAGAAAACACATATATATATATATATATATATATTCAACTTGTCATTATTCTTTTTTGTACTTCTTTCTACTAGCATTGCATCTAGATCTTGTGATATTGTTTGACCATTTTCAAGATTTAAAGAATCAAAAGAATCAATAGATGAAGTTTAAATGGCAATATATATACATATTGACCTAGCAAACTACATGCCTAAGATGAGAAATTGAAAAAAATATATGTACGCATTGTTCTTGAGTGATGAAGATAATGCTGAAGAATGGTTCCATGAGGTCAAGTTAACCATTTAAAAATAATTTTAAAGAGTCAACTGCAAGAAATAGACAATTTTAAAGTGAAGTTGAAAATTTCTGGGTGTGTTTGTGATTTTATTTAACATCATTTTATTTTCTTTTTTTTATAAAATTTGAAAACATAATTGTCTACAAGTTTGACAACAATCTTTTATTTTTTTCATTCTTTACTATGTGATAATTCATTTTAGAAAAATATACTCAGATTTCTATCTTCATTGGAATATTGATTAATACTAATTAATAGAGGTTTTTGATCAAGAACTTCAATTATTCATATTTATTGCTCATTACTTAATTTCTGACTGTGAGGATGAAAACTTTTTACAATTGAGTTAAAAGAATGGTAATAGAATTAACATTGAGTTAGATAAGTCTGTCGAATAAATAAATAAATAAACATATTAGAGTTAAAGTTAACTGCCTAAAACCACCACTCCAAAACTTTTGAATAGGGTGTAGCATGATTGAATTCAAATAATATTTATATATATAAAAACTATAAAAGAAACTTAAATTTAGGGTACATATAATTGTAGGACACAAATAAAATGCCTAAACAATAATTTATAAACAACCCACATAATAACAATATATTTACTATCATGACCAAATTCCAGAAGGCACAGTATGTGTTCAATTTTAAAGATAAAAGATAAAAGAAAAACCAGAATGCAATGTCACTTTTTAATTAAAAAAAATTCTGCAAAAAAATAAAAAATAAAAAATGAAGAAGTAATTGGACACACGCGGATGAAGATGCGAGTTAGATGAATGTGGATGAAAAGCAGATAACCGATGAACAACATGAACGAACGAGAATTCCAACACGTGATCACGTTTTCATCCATGAACGCGAATCCAGGTTTATGGATGAATACTCAGCAGCAGCAGTGGATGATCATCTCACACGCGCCTGATTCCGTGACCCCCGGGTATAGGGTGGCGTGGCCCCTCCTCCGTGGGACTTCGCAAGATCCACGGCCATCAGTAGTGAGGTCCTTAATACTGCAGAAGCCCGGTCAAGGGGGGGTGATCCAGTGCATGTTTGGTCGTTTCCATGCCCTGTTGGTGTGCATAATTGGTCTTGGACTCTGTCTTGACCCCATTCACACTGCCAGCACCCATCACTCTGGCATCCCTCTATTATCGCTAGCTATTCCTTTGTCTAGATGTATTGGACAATATCTTTCATTATTTGGGTGGAGATGATGTGGCACCACCACCTATCATTCTATCTATCTATCTATATGAATATATATATATATATATATATATATTAATATTAGATGCCCCTCACCCCCTCTTTCTCTTCACAATTATATCTTCATGCCTTTTACAACCTCACCATTATTACGTCATTAAAGAGGGTTTGTTATTATTATAGCTGCGAGTGCACTTTCATAGTAATACTATTATTGCTTTCCCCAATTGCTAGATTGGTCACCGCATGCAAATTCGCATGTTTTCTGTTGATATATGGTTTTAGTAATTTTGAGGATAATGTTGTTAAAATGCACACAATGTATGTGGGCTTATAAGCCTAACGTAGCCAAGGACAGATGTTTGTGAGACTGAGAATGATCTCAAATTTTTCACTATTTTAATAGTTTTACGAAGAAGAATACGCTGGTATTCTTTTCAATCAACATTTTAAAAATGAAAAATGAAAAATGAAAAATCTAATGGTGTATTTAGAAGAAAAAATTAGTATTGTTACTTTTTGAATGTATAGGTATGGAAATTCATGAAGTACTTTTGGATAACAAAAGTGTTCACAATTTACAAATAAATAAAAATGAAATTATAGTTTTTTTTTTTTTTTTTTTTTTTTTTTTAACAAATCTGTCTTCTTTAGCATCAAAATGGATTTCAATTCGAAAACATAATCAAAAAATAAAACTACAACCTACTCACATTCATGTCCAGTGCTGAAAAAGTCATATTTGTGTAAATGTTCTTCTATTTGATTCCGTCTTTAAGGCTCTGTTAAATTACAATTTGACCTTATACCGTGTATACATGAATACATGTGAATACAATAAAAATATAGTTAACATACTTTTTGTAAATATAAACTCTTTTGTGATTTTTTAGCACATGTATAGCTTCAATAATTCTAGTGTTGAATTTGTTTTGTTTTAAATAAGCACTTTGAAGAAAAATAATAAAAATAATAAAAATAATAAAAATAATAAAAATAATAAAAATAATAAAAATAATAAAAATAATAAAAATAATAAAAATAATACAAGATTTCTTCTTTTTATTGCAAAAAAAAATAGAATAATTTAACAAGATCATGGTTTTTTGAGGTTTCAAGTAAAATATATAAATAAGTTATTGAATAGAGTTCTTGTATGTGCAGATTGTGCATGCAAACAAGCTCTTCAGTCTTTAGATTTGTGTTACTTAATCAATACCATTTTTTCATTATTACTGTAATTATTATCGACCTTAATTAAAATTTACAATTAAATCAACCTGCTTATATTTGATTGTTAATTTGAAAGCTATTTTATCACTGCAAGTTTTATACAACAGAGTTCGTTTGTTTGTTTATGTTCTTTTAATTTTTGGTGGGATTACAAATCTAGTGTGCTAGAAGACCAACGACATCTCCATTAAATGGTGTGAAAAGGAAAATTAATGTTTATTTAGACGATGGTAACATAAACATATCTCTTTATTTGTGCTCTTCTCCATGTCCACGTGTTTTTAAGCATGTTTGCAAATAGTAAAAATTATGTGAGTAAATGAGAAAGATGTGGTTTCTTTAAATTTACACTCATTCTTTGAGGGAGAAAAATGTGCACAGAATCCATAGAAAGAGAATTTAGGAACATTTGTCAGAAAATCTACAACCTAAAAATTTATAGAAATAAGAAAGAAGGATCAACGGCAACCAAATCCATGAAGGGAGAATGGAAGTAACATCCTCCCCTCTAACCAAGTTGTATATCTCTAAATAAATACTATACAAAAAAAATAGGGAATATCAAATTGACCCACCTTAACCTCAAATTGCCCCACCACAATGTCATCACAAACATTTGAAGATTCAAAGAATTATAGTTCTTCTTGGTTGCCACGAACAATACATACAAGATACTAGCACCCCAACAAAGAGGACATTCAAAATTTTTTGCTTGATTCAACAGATTTCTAGAAAATCCTCTTACAAAAAGAAATTAAAATAACGTGATTTCAAACCACAAAGTCACGTAGTGGGTTGATTTAATATTAAAAGGTGAGTTGGAAAGGAGCCATTGGCGGGGCCAGAATGGGTCCACATGGAGGTGGTGACAAGTGGAAGCACGATATTGGTGGGAGGACCTCCTTGCCCATAATAATAATAATAATACTCTCACACAATGAAACCAAAAAGGGATTTAAAAGAGAGCAGAAGCAGCAGAATGAGCCATGTCATGACAATTTCGATGATCACTCTCTCAGTCAGTCAGTCTCTCACTGGCCACTGGGTTGTCTTTGCCTTGGCCCCCACCCACAGTTTTCATGAGGTTCTGTGTGTAGTTATGTTTGTTCCTCGGTGTTGAGTTTTCTTCCTCTTCCTCGACGCCAAACCATGTGGTAAAAACCATTGTAGCTTTGGCAAGGAGGGGGGTTTATCAGGCTTGAATGTTGGCTCAGGTGACCAGGAGAACAGGGGGTTCGGCGGTTATTACCCATCGCCCTCAGCGACCACAAAAAAAACCAATTGCTCGTGCAATACACAGACAAGAAACACTACAAAAACACCTTCAGACTTTGGTAAAGTTATTATGGAGGTATTATTATCTTACTTTCCATACATTCCAAAGCAAGCACGTGCTTGTGAACACTAGATCAACACTCTCTAGGGATGGTTTCATCCTGGTGGAAAAATAATAATAGTAAATGCAGGGGCCAAAGACGTATTGGCAAATTTGGTTGGAACGACGGTACCAATGGAACCATATAGGTTAAATCCACAGTTAGCGTACAGAAATCCCGTGCGATACATGTAAACCGTCACAAAGGAAGTTGGACACTTTGACAAAGAATCCGTAAAAGATTTAATCCATGTGAGGTGCCAAAGGGGCTGCTCCCCAGGCTGCTGGAGGAGCAGGCCTTGCTACCATAACTGTTTCTTCGGGAAAGAGCGCTTTTATGATGCCAGGAGTCTTCAAAATTCGACGCCCAGTCATCAAAGGGTATACATCTTCCAAAAAGAAATACGCATGTCCTGCAGCCATTCCCTGAATAGCCAGCAAATGCTCTCAGAACCAATCTTGTAAACTCATAAAAATAGAGATCTAGCCACAAGCCTGGAGAGCGAGCGAGAGAGAGAGAGAGAGAGAGAGAGAGAGAAGTTCCTGTCGGATGCAAAATGCGTACCATGATGCAAATTCTTCATCTACAGCACTCAGGAAAAAACTTGGAAAACTAATAAAAATATACGAACTTACCAAAAGGTCCACCCACGGGCTGCTTCCAACCATAACTGAAAATCCCAAAAGAACCTGCAAACCCCGCCACAAACATCAACGAACAGCAGGCAAGGGGAAACTACACAGTATGCAGAAGATATACAAAATTTGGAACAAAATCTAAATCAAGATTACTCATTACCAGATTTCTCAGTTGAACATCCTAATTGACCATGTCAGCATCAAAACCGTTTCTAATCTGCCTCTATGTAGTACACAAAAAGCACCAGAATCTGCTAGGTCAGAAAAGTAGCTGACCCAAGGCAAGTAGGGAGCAGTGAAACTGAAAAGACCAAGAAAGCTCATTTGCACGTGAGGATTGCGCTTACTCCATACATAAACCTGTCATCCCAGTTACATTATCAATCTTGCAAATGTCTCCTACAGAACAGACTAATTCCACCATCAACCGGGACGACCATCAATTGAACTAGAAGGTCGGAAGAGTTTATTTTTAAAAAATAAAATAATGAACAAGTAATTATATAATTTCGTTCTAAGAAATTTACGATGAGGATACGCTTAATAGAAGACGTAGTTCTTAAACAGCACCACCTGAACAACTATTCTGCCACATACTCATGGGTTGTAAGCGCATACCATCATGAAAGTGAGGGAGTTGCTCAAGAAAAGTATATCCGCAAATGGAGCAGCAAATGTGAGCATGCCGCCACCCACTACATAAATGGTGAGTAAAGTTCCACCAAAGAGGAGCATAAAGAAGAAATCTGCTGTGCGACCACGAAATGATGTCTCTTCCAAAAGTTTACAATACCTTGCCAGAAAGAACATGTGGAAAAGGAAGTCCAAATCTGCAAGGGCACCATGTCAATACGCTAAAGAGCACATTGTGCAACAGTACTAACACAATCTTAAGAGATGACAGTGGTGGGGGTACAAAATATAATAAATGCAACAATTGCGAACACTTGAAGGTAAATACCAAGTTTGCCAAAGTAAAAGAAATTGGTGATGAGTCTCCAGACTTGATAATCGTGTATGATCAAGGTGGAATTCAAGTACACATCATATGCTGAAATAACCTGTGCAAAGTCCGCACACATCATTAAAATGCTGTCTTTTTACACTCCACGTTCTCTGCACTTAAAACACGTTCATCCACATGTGTGATGAATGCCTCATCACAATTGCAGCAAAGCAAACTCAGCTGCCTCGTCACAATTCCACCATTCAGTGCAGTTCCATGATAAGAAAGCCTTCAAAAACCAGTCGGGAAGGGATCCCTCGAGTATTGATCTTTAAACGGCTTGAATCTCCTCTCTTACATTATTAGGATCGAGTGCTATCATTTGCATACAAGTAGTCCAAGCAGTAAGTAAACGCCACTGCGAGTGCATGAGCAGTCAAAACTACCTCATACAGCTCCAATGAGCATTGATGTCTAATGGGCATGAATTGGCCATGAAATCCTCGAGAAAACCAGCATTTAGCTACGCTACGAGGGAATATCTGAGACACGAACAAGACAACTCCTGGGTTTAAACATCTTAACTCTATCTAACAATTAATAGAAACAGAAAGTGAGAGTACCTCCAAAGCACATCCAGCGGTGGTGAGCACAGACAAAGTGAGATACGAGCGCGTGATGATGGGCATTTGCTTGTACCAGTCCTCTACTAGTTGAGCCATGCTTTAACTTCTCGACGATTCAGAGCCCAACCTTATATTTAAAGTACACTAGTCACACCAATAACGCTAGCATAAATTTTAACCCCCTGGCCTTCCACCTTAAATCGGACTGCACAAGCGCTCCGTAGAAATAGAATCCTCAACCCTAAATGCTGAACCGGTCGTGTCTATTCAAATCTCTTCTACCCAGAGAGGAGTGTTTGTTATTTTCCCCAGAAAATTCTCTAGAATATGGCACCCGGAACAAGGTTGTGAATCTAAGCTGCGTAGAACGGAGGGGAAAGAATCTGCTCCAGCACTGCACTACACCACACTTGGAAAATAAGAACGCATCCATCCACACTTGCAATTAATGCAGCCAATCTCACTTCGGGGCCATAGCCTCCCTCCTCCAAACTACTCCGAAACCTCAAAACCTCTTCTAACCGTTCGCTAACATGACCTAGGCCACCAACCATCCAAAACCTCGTTATAAACTCCATGTTCTCCCAAAAACGAACCCTTAAAACAAGTCTAAAACCTGAGTTAACCTCAACCCACAAATGAACCCACATAGCTGGAATGAAAACCAACCAACCTCGCTCTACCTAGAAACCTGAAAACCTCGTGCACTTCAATTCAATGCAAAAAAACATTTAAGTCCCCGCTCAATTCCCCTAAAGTATAGAAAAGATTCACCGCCACTCACCAGAATGAGCACCGCATGAGCTCAAATCCACCATAGAAGCTCAAAACTTTCTTAGGACTCCCCAACAATGATCTGCTTGGCTGGCCGGGTTGCAGCAGCAATTCGATTATCTGGCGATGGCGATCCAGTGATTCAGAAAAAAGCAGCGCGACCTCCTCTCTCGATGTCGCAATTGAGCTTGGCAGCGTCTGGACAGCCTTGTCCTCGCAGTTCCCTCTCCCTGCGGATGAATGCCGTTCCTCTGGAGTATTCGCCCCTCGTTCAAGAAGAAGGAATTCATCGCAATCTTGGATGAATGCGGTTCCTCGTGTGATGAATGATGAACCGCGGGAGGATTTATTGTGTATTAAAGAAATTCATATTTTGTACATTAGAGTAATAACAATAAAATAACAATGATGCGAAGGAATGCCATACTTTCTTAAATATGATTAGTAAATTTTTATCATATATATATTTTTATTTCCCAACATTTATTGGTTTTTATTCTTATTTTACATCATTTTTACACCTAATGTTTTTGTTAAAAGTTCAAATTATTAGCCTTTTAATTTGATGTTTTGAAGATTTTATTTTGAGATTTAATTTTTTATAATCTAAACAATAGAAAAAATTAATTAAAATAAATTTGATATTTTTTATAAATGTCTGAATAAAGAGGCATGTGGTGGATCTAATAAAAAAATCTTAATTCAACAGTGTAGAATTAGTGCCCTTTACATATAGGAGACTGTTAAATAGACCCAGGCTTTTGCTAAATTAACTTATCCATCCTAACCATCATAAAAATAAAATTTTCTATTTAACATTTCCGTGTATATATATATATATATATATATATTTATATTTGTAGATTTTTATATACATGTCCTTTTACCAGATCATTAAGTTTTTCTGGTTAAAAGTTCAAAAATTCTAATTCTAATTAAATTTGATGAAATTTTAAAAAAGAAATGGAAAAAAACTTTTCAACCAAATCACCTCATTATTAATCAGCAACCACATCATCCAATGTCAAAAACTATACACAATTTCAATTCAATCAACAATAAAATAAACTGGATCTCATTACTAAACAATATGTCTGAAGACATGTTTTGCATGTATGTTATATGCATACAATATATATATATATATATTTTGTATTTTTTATTTTTTTAGTAACTAAAACCCACACCATCATTCATGATTTCCTTTTGAATTTACACACCTATTCTATCAAAACCCTCAATTGATGTTTAATCTCATAAAAACTTTTTAACATTCACCCACCACACCACTAATACTAATTTGTTTTTTACATTTTAAATACCTATGCAAGGCAAAAACAACTCACAATCGTCCACTCATAGTTAAAGTTGTAAAGAATTATTTCGGAGACGATTTTATTTTTAAATAATTTAAAATTTTGAACTCAATTGAAGAAAACATAATCATCAAACTCAATAATAAAACTCATCAACAGCAGAAACCACCGACTCCAAGGGTCAGTGCCGCCCTGTGGGCCACTTATCATCCATCCACGCCTTTGAACGAAAGGAAGAAAGAGGATGAATACCATCCGTTAGGAGCGGACACCAAGTGGCTCCATGGCAAGGAGAGGGGAGGACAAGTAGCGTTGTGCCCAGTTTCTTCGTGTTTTTTTGGGAATTGTGATCGCAATTTGGGGGTTTGATTGTTTGTTTTTTTTTCGGTGCTCCTACGGTGATTGATCTTCTCTGCACTTGGGTTTAGTTTCGTTTTCTCGGAGTGTGGAAAATTTTCGAGTTTTCATGCTTGTAACATGACTTGGGTGGATTCCAGTTTTTTGTAGAAGTGGCAGGATTTGGATTGGAAGCGGAAGAGATTTGTGCGTGCTCAAGATTTTCAGTGCACGCGTCACTGAAGCGGATTCTGTGATTTATTAGGGCTCCTGATTGTTCCAGTGCCTCAGATGTGATTTTCGCTACCAATCTCGCAGGATTTCGAATGATTCTGAGCAGCGGAGCACCAGTAGTGTAGATTTCGCTTCTGGGGAGAGTTGTTTTCAGTGGCCGTCCCCGTCTCCTCAAATGGACCAAATGCGAATGCCTGCCCCTTTGTCAATGCCACCACCTGTGTCACATCCAGACATGGGGCACAATCCTAACCCTGCTCCGCAAATGACTCTAGCTGCGCTTGCGCCAGTGCCGCAACCACGTCCTGTGCCTGTTGTGCAGCCTCCAATTGCATTTCAAGTTCCTAGGAAGCGAATAAATAATCCAAGCGACATCGAGCACTTTCACAAATCGGAAGCAGGGAAAATATTTTTAGGGTTTATTGCAGGATTGAGCGCTTCAATGGAAGGGAAGAAGCTGTCAGACTACTGCCGCGAGTCTCCCTTGATCAAAACACTTTGTAATATATTAGAAGAGATGTCCTCGTGGATTGATCAATTGCCTCCTAAGCAGCAGCCCGCTAGGTATGGAAACCCCGTGTTTCGAGAGTGGCAGACATGGCTGGAGGAGCGAGGGCCCGGGTTGATGGTTCGAATTCTCCCAGAGGATTTGAAGGAGGGTGTAGTGGAGCTTTTTCCTTACTTTGCTGACAGCTTCGGAAACGCAACAAGGATCGATTATGGTACTGGTCATGAGACCAACTTCGCGGCGTGGCTTCTCTGTCTGGCAAGATTAGGGTTAGTGAATGAGGACGACTATCAGGCTCTTGTTGCACGCGTCTTCGTCAAGTATTTGGACCTCATGCGCAAGTTACAGACCACCTATTGGCTTGAGCCAGCTGGTATTCAAATCGTCCCTCAGCATATTTATTTTCCCGGAGTTTGATGATCCAGAAACCACAGCCTGGGAGCTCTTGAATCATGAAGTTGCACTCTATAGCGACCTCTTGTTGGGGTATACCATGTCGTTGCTTCAACAGTCAGTTAATGCATTTTGTACCGTCACTGCAATGCTTGTTCAGAGAAGATAACCAATCACATGACATTAAACATATCTAATCAAATGTCTACAAGAAAGCTTCTATCTGCCGCAAAAGAGGTGTTCTTGTCCCTGGGTTCGGTGTACAACTTGAACCAAATGTGCAGACTATGCTTCTTTGGTGTTGTACAGGACACCGATGTCCAGCTTCTTGCTCACTCCACTGACATATTGTTGGTCTAAAGGACGTGAACGATTGCTTACTCTTGTGTTTTGTCAGTAAATCTGTAGCAATACGACGTAGAAAAACAATATTTTTAGGCGTCTTGCAAGATGAGAGGGTGGTTTCGCTGAATCATAGTATTCATCTCATTGGACTGGAGTTAATCTTTGTCAGGTTCCGTTTTTTGTGAGATTTTTGGTAATGTTCATTCTCTGTTTAAAACAGTTTGATGTTTGGCCATTTGAGTATGCTGACAGTGTAGAATGTGTTGAATCTCGCAGGATCACATGGAGTGTGGGGTTTGGACGACTATCATTTTCTTCCCTTCATTTTTGGGTCAGCGCAGCTGAAGGATCACAAATACATGAAACCCAAATCTATACACAACGCAGATATTCTTGAGAATTTCTCACATGAATATCTGTATCTTGGATGTGTGCAGTTTGTGAAGAAGGTGAAGAAGGGTGTGTTGGCTGAGCACTCTCCAATCATAGATGATATTAGTGCAGTGGCAACATGGAACAAGGTGAATAGCGGCATGCTCAAGATGTACAAAGCGGAAGTTCTTGAGAAAGTACCAATTATGCAGCATTTCTTGTTTGGATCTCTCATCAAATGGTAGATTACTAGGATGACATGACTGTTTTTGGTAAGTTGTATAATAAAGACAGACCGATAATTGCGTTCTCAAATAACCTGCTCTGATAGCACTGGATTCATTTTGAACCTGGAATCCGTGAATACCATGATCTTATCACATCGAATTGTCTTTCAGCATTATGCGTTAATTTCTTCTACCATGATTTGCTCAATCGCAACTCACCGGACACGTTATGTGCAAATACGAATGAACTTGAATTTTCTATGACTCTAACAGGTCCCCTGGTTAATGGATTGTTTTATATCTTCTTTTCTTTGAGTTTCACCAACTGTTTTGAAACACTTCACATTTGCAACTGTACTTACATTTTTGTTGTATAGTGTGTGCAAAATAATGTGATTACATTTATGGAATCGATGTCAAGTCACTGCAACGTACGAAATGACCTCAAGCCTCGAAAAGTGTGCATCATCTCAATTCGGTTAAAAAAGAAGAAGTAAAGCAAAAAATCAACAAAAAAAATATTAATGATTCCTAAAGCAACATGTTTTTTTCTAAAAGCCTTTTTATACTTTCATATTTTTATTATAACTTTTTTTCTCATTTCATGTAGAAGATAGCTTCCAAAGATTGGAATCATGTCCACCCAAATACAATCTAATTTCTTCATAAATGTGCTTTAAAGTTGTTTATTCTTTTAACGTCTTATCATGTACTTCAAAGACGTAACATGCTTGGAATTGCTTACAGTTCCATAAGTATGCACAATGTGCACTTTACATTGTCTAAAAAGTTGCAATAGATTTAATTGTTTATTAGTATTTTCACTAAAAATAAAATAAAATAAAATAAAAAAATCATCAAACATATTCCTAACATTGAATATTAGCATTAATATTTAGAAAATGCACAAAGTTTTTCTTATTAAAGATAAAATTTTCTCTTTAAAAAATCCAATTAAGAACCATACCACACTTGTAATAATAAGATAAGTCTTGAAAATATTAATAAAAATTTATTAATTTTTTAATAAAGTTAAATATTACTATTTTGTGGTTATTTTAAATATTCATGTATTGGAGTAATAATAATTTTTATAATATTAAGAGAATTGATATTATATGTTATAAAAACTACACTAACAGTTATTACAAACATGAGAATTGTACCTGTATACACATGTCTTTGAATTTTGTTTTTCATTTTTTATGTTTTTGTGTTAGTATATAAATATATACATTATTATTTCGAATTAACAATTACCAGATTTGCAAAGTGATAAATTGCATTTGTAATAACTCATAATACATGAAATGTCTTTAGTCATTTTGTTTGTAAAGTTTGATGTTTGGCCATTTTATTATATGTAGATATGCAGTTCAAGAAAATTAATTATAACGTCAAAGAATAAAAGACTCCTTAGGCATGTAATTAAAAAGATATATTAAAACAACATCTAGACTAAAAATTACTTTTTACTTTCTATATTTATACCATTTGCAAAGTCAGAATACTATTGTTTAAGCTTTGAAGAACTTATTACACAAACTGTTATAAAGATTAATTGAAGAAGATTTACAGCAAAAGCTTCTGGCAAAGGTTCCGTACTAAATTCTACTTACCAAATTTCTAAAAGAAGTGAGTAAAAGTTTTTCATAAACATTGTAAAACAATTTTTAAAAACCTCAAAAAACTTGTAGAAACAATCCAGGCTCAATATACATGGCACATGACATCCTAGTATTAGATAAGTGGTAACGTGCCTTAACAAGAAGGCATTCAAATGGTTCAAATCCACAAAAAAGAAAAAGAAAAAAACAGAGCCGTTTCACAAGACTTGGTCTGAAGGAACGTTGGGAGGGAGCAGGTGCTAGAATACAGACAGTCTTGTGGTCCTCATCGTCATCGTCTTCTGCTCCTCCTTCTTCTTCGTGGCTACCATCACCAGCTGGTCTTTGTCGACACAGCAACTTGGTACGATTGTGCTCCTGATCCCTCCCTCCCTCCTCAGTCAAGGCCAGTGTTGCATGCCTGACGTGCAATGGCCTCAATCCCGGGAATTACCTCTCTGCTGTTTCGAAAGGTGGGTCAAAAGCTTCAGGCTTACTGTGCAGCTGCTCGCCCCAGGAGCTGCAAAGTATGGAGACGAAGCGCCGCATCGGGAGGGAGGGAGGGGGAGGAGCCTGCAAAATTCAGGTACTTACTCGCAAAGTGAACAGACGCCCACAGTCTCTTTTTTGCCCATACATTCCTGAAAGACTCGCACTGGTCAGAGTCAGCTACTAGTAATACGTTGCGCAGCAGCTGGGCGTCATTGACTGGGACCACCAGTGCTTCAGATTCTCTATCAACAGCCTTCAAGTGAAATGGTGGTGGGTTGTTGTACATATGCAGCATCCAGTCTCAGGAATCTGTCCATTATCCCTCGATTGCAGCCGAAACTAAAACGCCTTCGCAACCATCTGGCCTTTAGAGTGCAGATGTTGGGGGCACTCGTACGTTTTGGGATCGAGAAATCGTAAGACCTTGTCAATACTGCAAACCCACGGCCCTGCCGGCATTCACTACACTCTCTGGTTTCCTTCAAACTTGTTGAAATATTACCGATGCGCTTTTCTGGAAGGGACATGAATTATATATCTACATTTGTGTATATATATATATATATATATATATAGTCACGCATCAGTTGATCATCAAGATGTAGTTGCACAAGGATCGAGGTAAAAGGAGACTTGTAGAGGTGATCCACATTGCAAATTTGCCACACTTCCTACACTGGAAAGTTGTGTACCGAGTTGGCAGGATGTCCTGGGGATCGTGCCCAATGAAGGTGGATTACTACAAACGGTATTTAAATGTATATTTTTTATATATTGTAATTGCTATCGTTCTGTCTAAATAGGTTAAGGGAGGAGACCTTGTAATGTCTGTTTAGACTTGTTTCCTCTGGGCACTTTCAGTGTTGGAAAAGTCGATCGATCTGTGGGTGGGATCTTTACAACACACATTTTCGGTATTACACGTCACCGGATATTAGTATTATTGGTATTACACGTCACTGAATGTCTCGACGAAGAGAATCTGTGTGGCAAAAGCGAGGCTCAATCGGACCTTTTGCGCCGAAGGATAGATTGTATCACACTCAACCGTCAAGTCCAGCACAAGTTACATCTGCAAAAACATTGTGGGAGTTACAAAATAGGACAAAAAACTTCAGGTGGTTCGCAAGAGGTTTGCGAAGCTTCACCATATTCTACTGTCCACTGCTGGTTTGCTCTCCCACTCTCGGAGAATATTGTTACTCTCCTTTTCTGGAAATTGAAGGCGAAAGATCTTCTCCGACAGATATTTTTAGATTGAGGGTTATCTGTTAAATAAAGTAGGAATTGTGGTGTTATATGCCATTTCCACATTTTCAAGGAGCCACCTTCATCTCGTAGTTGTGAAAATGACTGGAGGATGTAATTGCTGCGTAAAAGTTTTTGTTTTTAATCATTCGAGATTGTGCGTGTGTGAATGCCTAAAGTTCAGAGAGGTGGTATATCGTTCATGGGAAGCTAGATCCAGTGGAATGGGAAGAGTTCAAGGTTTAGTATTTAGAACATTCTTTAAAGGCCGAAAGACTGTAGAATATTTTCTACTGAGGAAGTGTATTCACCTTGTTTGTGAACTATATTTATACATCAAATCCAGTTTAACACATGTAGTAGATTTTAATTTTATCTCATGTTTATCTTGACAGCTCATGCTATGTTGACTACAATTTTAAATTTTTTTTTGACAATCTAGTAATTCATCCTTGAATAGACTAATTTGAACAAAACTAGTGGTTGCTTTGATATCTTTCAACACTCTCCCTCAACTCTAGTTTTCCTCTTTTCAAAATATAAATTGTTTCTATAGATACTCTTATTTGTAGAAAATCTGGAGCAGCCCTTCCATTTGTTTATTTTGCTGATAAGTAAATCCACTAAGTGGTTTTGTAAAGATATTATCAAGTTGATATTTACTTGGAATAAATTGAACTTCAATACTTTGCTTGTACATCTTCTCTCTTATGTAATGATGTTGCAACTCTATGTGTTTTGTTCTTGAGTGCATTATAGGGTTGTTTGCAAGTTTTATACAACTCATGTTATTACTAAAAAGTTTAGTTGGTTTGTTTTCTTGTTTTTATAATTCTATGAGTAGTCTTTGAAAGCAACAAATTTCTATTTCACTTTTGTTATTGATAATATAACAATTTCTTGTAAGTTACCACTCTAATGAATAGGTGATTATTCGAATTTATATAACAACTATCTTACTAATTTTTTAGTAAAATCTACATCAGCATAAGTTTGTAATTCTTCTTCATCATTAGCTCAAAAAAAAATTCTACAATTCATTGTTCCTTTAAGATATTTTAAAATATTTTTCGCTGCCATAAGATGTGCTTCTTGTAGTCAATTCATATTTCTTGAGTAGTAGTATATTACAAATATTATATTTAATTTGATTATTTGTAGATGAATTAAACTCCCAATCAAAGATTGATAATAAGTAGCATCACATAGTAGAGGCTTCATGTCTTTATTAAGTTTAATTCTTATATTCATTGATATAGATACAAATTTTTAATTTTCCACTCCAAAACTTTTCAATAAATTTATAATATATTATGTTTAATGCATCTAGATTCTTTATTTAATAAATAAAAACTTTACTTCTAAATAAGTGTGTATATTATCCAAAAAGGTTATTTCATATTCATTTGTAAATATTTTTGAATTTTGTCAATATTCATATAATCATCTCTTATTAATAAGAAGTCATCAACATATAAAAATAATAAAGTATATTTTTTGTTTTGAATAGAATAATATAAATTATAATCTTCATTACTTTTGTTGATATTTTGTTTTTTTCAAATAACTACTTATTCTTGAATACCAAGCTCTTAGAGCTTGTTTAAGTCCATATATAGCTTTCTTCATTTTACATACTTTTCTTTTTGCGCTTTCATTTTTCCATCCATCAAGAATTTTTATAAATATTTCTTCTTCAAGAATGCCATTTAAAAATGTATTTTTGATATCAAAATGTCTAATTTTCCATTTTCTTCTAGTAATAAGTGCTACAA